AACTTTTATTGAATTTTTTTTCGCGCTAAACACCTTTTACGTCCATACTGGAAAACGTTCATTACATTAACAAAATTTGTGATTCTTCAGTTTTAAAGGCTCTCAAGCTATTGAAGTTATCAAACTTTGGCAGCCGTTTTCTCACTAAATTTACCTCTGAAATCAGGTGACCCCACCTCCTTCAATCACAAATATTTCGACTTCTATTCAGCATAGATGAATATTGTTTTCATCAAAAGGAAGGCAAATGGACAGGCTTTAAGATGATGTCAATAACTCCTTATGCCTCAAAATCAAAACTGACGAGCACTTGATCCCACCATGTCGTGACACCTATTATTTTTTAGAGCATAATTTTATATTATTATTGTGTAGGCATGTTTTTCATGAATATTATGCAGTGCGCATAGAGCAATGATAGTTTTACGGATTTGCGCGATATAAATGTCGTATTATTTTTATCCTTATAAGCGAACAATGTAATATTCCGGGGGGTGGGGGGGGGTGGGGGTGGGGGTGAGGAAAAATGTAAGAAAAGTGTAAGAAGGGGGGGGGGCAAAAAGTTCCAAAAAAGGTGTAAGATTATATTTGAACAGCCCCATATATCTGTTTTTGCATCTAAACCCTTCATATATATATATATATATATATATATATATATATATATAGATAGATAGATAGATAGATAGATAGATAGATAGATAGATAGATAGATAGATAGATAGAGAGAGAGAGAGAGAGAGAGAGAGAGAGAGAGAGAGAGAGAGAGAGAGAGAGAGAGAGAGAGAGAGAGAGAGAGAGAGATAGATAGATAGATAGAGAGAGAGAGAGAGAGAGATCTATATAATCATTTTATGTTATTTTCGGGATATTTTTTAAAACTCTTTTTTTTAAACATGTCATAAAATCAAATTGTGCCATTTTCTTTGATAAGAATAGCATTAGCAGTGGACTTTTTAGACAGCGAGTCTCTGATTCAATATTTAAAAAAAATATTCTAATCAATGAAAATTACAAATTGATAATAGTTTAGTCCTGTAGAGGATAGGTGGACTCCGGGGTCTGCAGAGCGAAAGACTAGATTTTAGGATGTAAACCCCGGAGTCACCGTAGTGAAATAAGGTTTGGTTTAAGTAAGGATTGGTGGACCCTGGGGTCAACGTAGTGATAAATAAGCAGGTTTAAGGTGGGCCCCGGGGTCTACCTAGCGAAATACTAGGTTTTAGGACAGGTGGACCCCGGGGTCACCGTAGTGAAATAAGTAGGTTTCTTTAAAGATTGGTGGACCCTGGGGTCAGCGTAGTGAAATAAGTAGGGTTAATTTTAAAAGGATTGGTGGACCCCGGAGTCACCATAGCCGTAGAGAGGAATAAGAAGATTTAATTAAGGATTGGTGGACCACTGGGACACCTTGATTAAACCTACTTATTTTACCACGGTGACCGCAGGTTCCACCTATTCTAAAACCTAACTAGTATTTCGTTAGGTAGACCCTGGGGTCCACCTTAAACCTACCTATTTCACTACGTTGACTCCAGGGTCCACCAATCCTTAAAATTAAACCTAGATCTACATGTACTTATTTCACTACGTTGACCCCAGGGTCCACCAATCCTTAATTAAACCTAGATCTACTGATTTCACAATGTTAACCCCGGGGTCCACCAATCCTTAATTAAACCTAGATCTACTTATAATTTCACTACGTTGACCACGGGCTCCGCCAGTCCTAATATAAAATAAACTGAGATCTACTTATTTCACTATGTTGACCCCGGGGTCCACCGATCCTTAGTTAAACCTAGATCTGCTTATTTCACTTCGCTGACTCCGGGGTTCACATCCTAAAACCTAGCATTTTGTTAGGTAGACCCCGGGGTCCACCTATCCTTTTGGCTAGATAGACCCCGTGGTCCACCTATCCACTTCCTTGATAATAACTGAAAACAATACATGCCAATTGTCATGAATAGTGAAAAAAAAAAATGTTTAAAAAAAAAGATAAGGAGGTATAGACTATAATTTGTCAAAAAAATTGCAAGTGCAAGTGAAGATCATAAGATAATTTTGTTATTTTCTGGTCATCTTTTCACAGTTTATAAAATGTTCCAGTGGGCCTACTACTAGATCTATGTCTCTGAAGAACATTTTGCTAGACTTTATTAGCTTTTTTCATATTCTTGAAAGCATAGAATATAAGTTCACACGAATGTAAGCACAATACTTTGAAAAAGAAAGATAAGGTCATTGTTGTTTTTTAAAAAATGGAATCCGTTTTACGTTGAGAAAAGCGCTAAAAACAAGTTTTAAAATTCTAAGAATGCTCATAATATTAGGAATCCGAAATTACTACCTTGATATAGTTGGCTTACTCTTTAATAACCATGAGCAGTTAAGAAAAAAAAAGAAAGAATGATATGATTTGTCTAAATATGACCATTAGCAATAAAGATATTGCCCATTTTGTCCAATTATCCTTGCAGGTAAAATCACCCTGTACTGTACCTCAATAAGCACAAAAAGAATATTTCTGTGACTTTGAATAAAGGTGTTTTGTAGTTGAGTTCTATGTAAAATTCTCAACAAAATAATGTACATTTGGACCGTACAACTGAGATAGACACTCATGAACACAATAACCTTCACACATTAAACACACACACACACACACACACACACACACACACACACACACACATACAAACACACTATTACATTTACTCTCTCTCTCTAGATCTCTCTCTCACCACAACCACACACAAAACAAACACATACACACACTCTCACACACACACACACACACACACATACGCACACACACAGACACACAACTCTTACCCTTGGTCCACTTTTCATTTAGTATCATCCTCTATTTTGAAATAATCCCCCGCACTAAATAGAAAGATCAGTAGAATCTCGACCTTCCGAATCCATGGTTAGTTCAAGAAATCTACTAAAAGATGTGGCCTAAATAAGGTAAGGGAGGGGGCTTAAGCTTATTTAGGCCATATGTGGTCTAAATAAGGTCACCCCCTTTTTTTTTTCTTAAGCCCCTTCGTTGCCTTGTGACATACCTGGTACGTCATGAAAATGTGTAATTTTTAGCACCATGCCGTACCCTGTATGTCATGGGAGTTGGCAAAATTTGCTGCTCCTGGTTGCCTATATGACGTTGCATGTACATCTTGCAAATAGCCTGGCTCTTATTCTTTTATATATATATATGGAGTTTTAGCCACAAGCACTGCAAAGACTCGTATTCAGGAATAAAAGATATGAATTATATCCGTACCAAATTTGCTAGTAGGCTATTTCTTTACTGCTAAGCTTGCAAGCGATTGATAAACATAGATCTAGGCTTGCAGGTGGTTGCATGATCCCGTAAAACGATAACATCGAAATGACCTTAAAAAGGCAAATAAATTCACTTTGCGGGTTATTTGAAATTATGAGTAAGATGGAAGGATATGGTGAATAAGAAAAGTGAGAAAAGTGACACAATTGAAGACCCGGTGTCTCGAGTGCGCTAGATCTAGACTGCACATCCATTAACGCTGAGACATTAGGCTGCTGTCCTAGGTAACGAGCTTAGCTGAAAATCAGTGCTGACACTGACAGTAGGAAAGTATACCCCCTGGCAATGAAAGGGTTAATGACACTGTCCTGCACGTTCACCTGTCTAAGGAAACCACTTTTTTCCTGGACAATGGATGGCTGTTTTGGAAAATTTTGACTGTAGTTGTGGATGTTTTATGCCCCCTTCAACTCAATTTGGATCATTTAAGGGGCAGGCTGCTTCGACCCTGCCTACTAGAGCCAGCTGGAGCTGAGAGAAGTGGGAGGTTGGGGTTTACTTTCGTGAGGTTTGCTCCTTCTTTGCTATCAAACATCTATCGCCTTTATCTCTCCTTTTATTTTTGTGTTGCTCTCTCTAGTAACACCTCAAAATCTTCGGCACTTGAATGACCTGTATTACGAGTGTTTTAGAATTCTTCTTACAAGTAAAAGACTGGTTGGTACTTTGTATTTGTAGATGTTTTACGCCCCCTTCAACACAGTTGAGGTCATTATTAAGCAGGCGGCTCTTGACCCTGCCCACAAGAGCCAAGTGGAGGTGAGAGAAATGCACAGCCTTAACAGTAGCAGACAGACGGATTTTCTTGATAATGTAAAAGACCTCCCCATATTCAAATCGAATTCATGTTTTTTGTCTGTGATGATGAAGTCCTTAAGTGTTACACTACACCGCAGATGCCTGTAGGGTTGGAGCTGCAAGCTGGGCCAGTGGGTTGAGGGATATATTCTTTATACTCTGTTAGTATTTTTTTTGGTTCTTGCTCCAGTTAATATTTTTAATGTTTATGTAACTGTAGTTTAAGGATAAATAAAATGTTTTCAGATGGATGGGGGGTGATGTATGGAGAGGTCTACAGAAGAATTCACTTTTATCTGGTTTTAGTGTCTTCTTCGAGAAGTGGGTGTGTGGTCTTTTGTTCTCTGTGCCTTTATCCATTTTATGTCTCTGTTGTGACTGTCATAATTTGCTTAGATACTTCTTGGATGTTTGCATGATTTAGTAGAGTAGTTAAAATGGTGTTGGAGAAAATAAATGGGCAGCTGAAAGGCGCCACTGGTTGATCCTACTTCTTTATTGTCCCTTTTTTGTTTCTGTCTGTCTGTCATACTTTTTCCCCAATACCGAATGACCATTATTTTGTCAATATGGTTCTCTTTACTCAAACAAGCGCACAAATTGCTTAAACCCAAACCCTCGTGTGTAGGTGGTTGAAAAGTGCTGTAGTTTGGCTTGCTCCGTTTCTTATCAAACATCTTTTGTCCATATCTCTTTCCTTCTTTTCTTTGTGTTATTATTATGTTCCTCTTCTTATGTAATACCTCTAATTTTGCTCAATTTTATTACGGTACCTAATTGTGTTGCAAGAGCCATTCAAGTCTTACACTAAAACTTATTTAAACCCTGGTGTGTTGATGGCTTACAGGTAACCAACAACCTTGTGTCAGACTTTGGTGGTTCGGGGAGGATAGCAGCTCTTGGAAAACTGTGGTCTCACCTTCTGCACACTCGCGTGATCCTGGAGAGATGTGAGGATCCCACAGTTTTGTCTGGCACAAGGACTGCTCTACTGGTCAAGAGTTGCCGACAGGTAAAAACAGTTTGGTCTCCTATTAAAAACTCACAGTTGTCAACAGGTGAAAATCGTGGTCTCTACATAAGAATCCAGTCATCGGATGACCAAAATTTGTGTGTTTTCTTGGGCAGACAAGTTGTTAGGTAGATTTCAAAGGGCACATCAGCCTCACCAACTCTCTGTGCTAGCTTCTAGAGAGGATTCTCAACTACAGACTGGGCTGGTTCCTAGAGAAAAACCATCTTCTATCAGATAACCAAGCTGGGTTTAGGAAACATCGATCAACCGAAGACCAGATTGCATACATCGCTCAGATGGTAGAGGGCGGCTTCGAAAGGAAAGAACACACTGTAGCCATCTGGATCGACCTGGAGAAGGCATTTGATAAAGTCGGGACAGAAGGACTCAAACTGAAATTACAAAATCTAAACATCTCTCACAACATGCTGAAATGGATCTCACAATACCTATCTTAAAGAAGAGCCTATGTGAAACTGTGAAAGGAAAAAGAAGTAAAATGGAGACAATCAGTAATGGAGTCCCACAAGGGGGAGTTTTATCAGTGACCCTGTCCTGATTTTCCTCAACGACATCTCAACCACCATCACCAAGAAAGTGACAGCAGCGGAGTAGCAGATGACATCACTCTTTTATGCTCGGCAGATTCAGTAGGAATAGCCCAGGTACGACTCCAAAGCACACTTATTAACATTATGAAGTGGACAGAGGAGTGGGGACAGAAGATCAACAAGAACAAGACCACGTACACAACATTCAGCCTCTCGCCAAAACCCCGAAAGGTAAACTTGCATCTTGATGGAAACACTCCACAACACGAGTCAAATCCCACCTATTTGGGAGTGACGTTTGATCCGAGACTAACGTGACAAGCCCAAACAGAGAGGTGCAGAAGTAAAGGTAACAGAATAACAGCACTTCTTAGAAAGTTGGCAGGGTCAGATTGGGGCGCAAACTGCACCATCTTACGTGGTGCCTATGTTGGATATGTCCGCCCAGTCCTGGAATATGGTATCGCAACGTGGGGAACAGCATCTTCCACAAAGTAGCGAGAATCTAGAATCAAAATCTACGGATCATCACGGGAGCATGAGATCCACACCCATGCATGTCATGGAGACACTAACTGGGCTAGCACCCCTGAACGGCAGACGCGATCTGAAAGCGATTGTTCATCAGGAAAATGTCAAAAGAATGCCAACCTACCCAATGAAGGATAGGTCTTCAAAAAGCCTGAGCAAACGTTTAAAAAGAAAAAGCTTCCTCCATGTGGCCAGACACTCCAGCTCTGGACTCGAAATCTCTCTTGAAGAATCTCCAACCCCACTAGACCCATGTCAAGTCCACCCTCTTCAGACTAGTCACCCCCCTCAAATTCGTGAGAACCTAGAAGAGCTTGGCGCCAAATCTGAAGTCCCTGCTCCGATACTCTAGTCACTGATGCTCGACTACCTGGACAGAAACTTCCCAAGCAACCGGTGGAAGCGAGTTTACACGGATGGATCAGCAACTGAGGCAGTCAGAAACGGCGGTGGAGGTATCTACATAGAGTGGATAGATGGGTCAACAGAGAGCCATTCCATCCCCACAGGATCTCTCTTCCAACTATAAATCAGAAACATCGGCACTTGAAACAGCAGCCACCATTCTCTTGAACTTGAATCTCCAAAAATTTAAAGCCAACCCCGTCAAGCCACAATCTGCTCAAGTACGACAACTCCTTTCACTCCTATGTGATCTAAACTCCCAAGCCAACACAACTCTGCAGTGAATACCAGGTCACTGTGGCTTTCATGGAAATGAAAAAGCAGACGACTTGACCGAAGAAGGAGCCAAAATGACCCAGACTGAGGATGGCATGAATCTCTTAGAGTCAAAAACGCTAATAGAATCTGCCATAAGAAACAGATGGAAAAGATCCCACCCCAATCACAACAGACGTGACCCCTACTACATGGTAAGTAGAGCAGACCAGGTCACAATCTTTCGACCCCGTTGTGACCACAACTGACAAACACCATATGCACACTAAATTAAAAGTGGGAAAGTCCGCGATCTGCGAATGTGGACACCACCAAGAGGATGCCAACCATATCCTTCAGTACTGCCTGCGCTACGCCACCCTCCTTCATACACAGACGTGGCAGAATGTGACTCCTCTTGAGAGAAAGCTCTTTGGCAGTCTCTCAAATTTGAAGCGGACTGCACAGTTTGTGCGCGACATCGGACAGACTGTCTAGCTGTGGTCATCAAGAACAAGGAAGAAGAAGAAGAAGAAGGGCACACCTCAACAAGGTGTCTGCGAAGGTTCTTAGGCATGCAAATTATAAAGAATGAACTCTTTTACTCTAAGGTATCAAAAAGGCCCCCCCCCCCCCCCCCCCCCCCCCGCTAATTAATTTTCAGTTTTTGTATCACCCCCCCCCCCGGCTCCTTATTCCATACCCCGGCGCGCAGCCAAGAAGCCGGTGGTCGCGAGTGGTGATTTTAACCTTCCCTTGTATTTCTTGCCTTTTTGGTAAAAAAATTTCCATCTTCTCATTATATGACAGCCCTGAAAAAAATTGGGCTTGTTCTCTATGTGCATGGGTGTGTGTTTACAAGTTTTTGTGAATGTCCATTCAAACTTAAGAATGTTATGACATCTCAAAGTGCAGACATTTCGCAATTTAAAAAATGAAGTATTTTTCTGCAACTTCAGATATATAACTTTGTTAAAAATGAAGCTTTTTGTGTAAATTTGGTATCAAAATGCTCAGAATAATAAATTAATAAATACTATAAGGTGGTGCAGTTAACTATGAAATCAGAGGACTTTGAAATTTCAGTTTATGGTACCTACAAGGAGTACCAGTAGAAAGGCTGCAGAAAGAGTCAGGAGCCCAGTGGAGGGAGCAAAGGAGGTGAGGGGGTGGAGGCAGAAAGTGGAGACGAAAGCAGACAACAGAATATTGCTTTAGAGCAGGAATGGAGGTGAAAGGAGACAATTTTAGAAAAGAAAATGTTTCGGTCGCAACCCGGATTCGAACCTGGGACCTTTGAATGAGAGGCCAACACCTTAATCTCTAAGCCACGAGAGCCCTCTAGATATCTGAATGAAGCTTCTATTTTTTTGTTGTTGTAAATAGCAAATTACCATCCCTATTATTAGACTTAACAGTACCGGGTTGGCTACCACTAAACTAAAATTTCATGATCTCTTGTTCTTTTAGTCACTGAAGGAGAAATAAAACAGATTTGTTCCTACCAGTATAGGGGTATGATGTTGAATGTTCTCCCCCCCCCCCCCAACCACCTTACTTTTTAATTCCAAAATGGAAAATCTTTCAACTGGGTGAAGAAAAAGGGAGCTTTGACGTGCACATCAATGTTATGTATCTTTGTACCAAGTGCGCTTTGAAAACCATGCACATATTGAGTGAGTGACTGGAGGGCATCTCTATTACGTCTTGAATTTCTTTTCTTTTCCTCTGTTGATTCTGTAAGTGTGTCTGTCTTGCTTTTTCTTTGCGCTTAACAGACTTTCATCATGTGGGTGTGCTTTGTTTTACTTTTTTTTTAAAAACCAACCAAATAAACAAAAGCATTTGATTATTTTATTTTTCAGAAGTCTCCATCTTCAGTTGTATTTTCCTTGGGCTGATGAAGAAGACTATCTTGCCCAAAGTATTCTGTTCAATGTGAGTAATCGAGAGCTGCCGATTTCTTGAATAAATCTGGAAATCTGGATTTCGTCCAACTTGTTCATTTTGTAAAGCAATTTGTATAAAAAATACTCTTGATACAATAATATTAGTTTGAAGTTCTCTGTTTATTTCAGGTTCCTTACATTAATGGAGAAAAGCAGCCGTGTTGCATAGATTAATTACAACAGAAATGACATATAAACAATATTCATTTTTAGTGTAGAAGTAAAAGTGAAGAATGACAAATGAATTTTAGAATACTTTAGATTTACAATCTAACTAACAAGGCTATTATTATCACAGATACATAATTATTTTTTGGTACAAGAGTGAAAGCAATGAAACTTGAATGGTGTAAGTTGTTGGCCAAGAGTCTTCTCTATACAGTCTAGCACGCACATAGCAAACATGCACTTAGCAAAACACTCACGTTGCAAACAGATTGTCAGGTCCTAATTTTTTTTCTTTATATATATATATGCATTATGTTCTTTGTATTCAAAACATGTACATGGGGAAATTTTTACATTATAATGAAAAGATTTCCATGTTTCGCTCAATTAGTCATGTGCATGCTAAACTGTATTCAGAATTGTTAATAGGAGCGGAAAAATGGTATGAAATATTAATTTCTACTTACTGTGACTGTTATAGGCAATTGCATTTTTGTTGTTTTGAGTCTCAATAATTGGACTTTGGCATTAAACAAAACCCTGTTGTAATGAGGATATAAAACAAGTAACAGGATTTTACCATGCATTAATGACTAGATACTTTGAAATATTTACTTATGAAATTGTGTTAGTCAGTGATGACACACCAAAAGACAAAAACATTTGAAGAGAGAGGTTTTTCAGCAAAACCCATCATAAATTATAATCTACAACCTAAGTAAACCATGAATACTGACCAACCATTGTGTTTGCACGACACAGTCGCCCATATTTCAATGGTCTAAAGAGGTGTTCACGGCATCAACTGTCAGCCCCGCGAGTCATAAACCGACAGATGATATTGTGAATTACACACAGGTGTGGGATTCACGGTTTCATCAGGCGACTTTTGGGGCACTGTGTTGATTCACGGTTTTCTTATTATGTCATATTACGCGTTTGAATTGAGATATTTGAAAAATAGTTTTACAGGGACATGTATCTCACCGAACACTATTCAAATATATGCAAAAAAACGGTTTTTTGAAGATTTGTGGAATTCATGGTTTTATCAGGTGACCGACGATATCCTTGCACTCCATTCTTTAAACTGAATCCTTGTTTGGCAAAAGCAACTCTGCACAAGTTAGATTTTTATTTTAAAAATACACATATACATCAACAGATTCAAGCAGAATACAGTGGAACTCGGGTTCAACGAAGTCGTCGAGCCTGGCCTTGAATTTCGTAGAGTCCGAGTGTTCATAATGGCATATATGAGGTTTTTGTGGAGATAATTTTAAAAAAGGCAGCGAGCAAGTTATGTAATGTATTCAACTCCCTCAATGTAAAGTAGGCTACAAGTTTGATTTCAAGTGAGAGGCATTTTTGTTTCTTTGATACCAAAGAATTGCTGGAAAATTCCAGGAAAATAGAATGAACCCAATCAAGCACATACTGTGCGAAAGGGCCGATTTGTTGAACATCTATCATCTATAACGCAGACCTGCCACTCATCCCGATTTAATCGGGATATCCCGATTTTTTGCCCCAAATCTCAAGCATCCCGATTTTCCCGATTTCGATCGCCAGTATCCTGATTTTTTGTTGTTGCGTCTGTTGCGTTCGATTCTTAGAAAAAAAAAAAAAAAAGTTCTGCAATCTCTTTTGCTTGGAAGCACCGATTGGACTTTTTATCTGCAGGAACTTGGAATGCTATTTTCTAAAGCATCTATGCCGAATCTAGGTCTAGTAGATGGCTAACGTACGTTATTTAAACTAAAATCGACCTAGTTTCAAATGCTCACTCGCATCACATGACATGACCTCGTACGTGTGGTGAGTAGCGCGTGTGTCGGGGACCGTCGGTTGTCGGGGTCAACAAAGTTCATTCACACCGGTCGCGTTGGTCGAGGTGTTTTTCGGGACTTAACCAGTGTGGACGGCCGGGGGCAGGGGGTGGGGGTATTGTTTTGACACTTGGGCTTAAAGTGCGTGCCGTGATACATGTACTAATTAAGGGGAAAGGAATAAGAAAAAAAATGAACAACCTTGGCGCGATCTTTTTTTCAATGTGATGGAAGTCAAACGTTGTTAAAACGCAGGCGTTTTGCGTGGATGATTAGAGTTACGTGTCAGCTATTTTCAAGACTACGAGTGTTTCAGCATCACTGCGACCTTCGCTCCCCCAGTCTATCCAACTTCGACTCGAGTACATATATGCTGTCAAAGTTTTGCCTTGCATATTTGCCTCTTAAAAGGGAACCAGGACACACCCCCCCCCCCCCCCGCCTTCCCCAGTGCCCTTTATGACTGATTTGCCGTTGATCCCGATTTTTTTCACCAGATCCTGATTTTTTAACTCAGAAATCCTGATTTTTAGATTTCATAGAGTGGCAGGTCTGATAACGTATTGTTTGCCCAACAAGTTATTTTGCTGTGTAGAGCCTAGCATATGGCAACATGATTCCAGTTCAGCGCACAATTCATTACTTGTTCCATGTCAAGATATTAGTTCATCATTGTAATATTATATTGATCAGTATATGTAGCCAGGAGAAAAAAATAACTGTTGCGTTTGTATTTCTACTGACATTCCACACCCAGACCGTTTTTGCCCCATCCCCCAGATACACACACAGAGTCACACATCACACGTGTGTTGGCAACCCGTCTGATCTTGACACTTGCAAAGACATGGGTGCATGATAACAAGGTGTGTGTTAGTATGTAAGGAGGCCACTGAGGGGTCGAATAGAGCAATTTTCCCTGCAAGCGACTTCGTTGAATCCGAGCTTGGTCATTCATATGTTCCTTTAATCTGAGTTACTTTTATTGATTTTTATGAATAAAAAAATTGGGGAATCCAACTCCCTTCATTGAATCCGATTTTTAGTTGAATCCGAGCTCTTTGAAACCGAGTTCCACTGTATGTAGATGTACGCTACATTGTATAAAAATCGATGAATGTGAAAACTGAGAACAATAGTACAGCCAGGCTGCATGCTTTTAAATGAAATCTGTTAAAAGCAAATTGGTAAAAGATTGTCAAAAATCATTTGTGTCACGACGTGGTGGAATCAGGCAAATCGTCAATTTTTTGGCATGTGGAGTTATTGGTTCCATTTTAAAACTATTTGAATTGTCTTCTTATTGGTGGAAAAAATGCCCATCTATCTTGAATAGAAGTTAAAATATATTTGAGATTGAAGAAGGACGGGTCGCCTGGTTTTCAAAGGTAGAATAAGTGGGAAAATGGCCGCCAAAGCTTGCTTATTGCCATAGTGTGGTAGTCCCTGTAAACTGACAACTTACATTTTTGTGCCTTTAATCAACATTTTTCAGTAAAATCCACTCAGAAATGTGTTGTTCATTTATAAACAACAATGGTGTTACGCCAAAAAACAAAAATTTGATAAAAATTACCAAACTAGCAGAAAAATGTCAGTTTCTTCAATTGAAGTATTTTGACGAGCGTCTGATTTCACCATGCTGCCTCACATAACTTGGCTCTAAAATGAAAATGGGGTGTGGATAGGGAAGTACCGGTAGACTCTATGTCTAGTACCATTGAGTCTTGGTAAACAGTATTTCAAGTCCAGCATGCACTCTGGATTATTCCCAGATATTTTCCTGTTGGTAGGCCTAGTTGCAATGTAGTAGTAAAGTAGTAGCCTCAGAGAATAAAAAGTCCTTTGCTTTCATTGAGATCATTAGTAGATTTTGCTGATAATAAATCTGAAGTAGGGGGCTCTCGTGGCCTAGAGGTTAAGGTGTTGGCCTCTCATTCAAAGGTCCCGGGTTCGAATCCGGGTTGTGACAGAAAAATTTTCTTCTCTAAATTTGTCTCCTTTCACCTTCTTTCCTGCTCTCTAGCAATGTTCTGTCGTCTGCTTTCGTCTCCTCTTTCTGCCTCCACTACCTCATCTCCTTTGCTCCTCTGGGCTCCTGATTCTTTCTACAGCCTTTCTACTGCTACTCCTTGGCTTCTTCTTACTGCTGTCTTTCAGCCACACCCCTGATCTTCTAGTAGGAAAGATCTACACCTAGCCTTCTTGGACAAGGGCGAAAAATCTCGGAGAGCCCGTGTGCAAGTTGCGCACGTTAAAGATCCCTTGGTGGTCTAAAATCGATAAGAGTAGGCTTCGGCCGCCACCAGGGCAAAATTCAAAATTTCCTACCAACTGAAAAAGTTCAATCCATAAAACACTTACAAAAACAACAACAAAATCTGAAATTTGCTTTCAAATTGGTCACTGGAGGTGTTTGCTAACTATGAATTAGAACAGCTATGTAGTGGTTAGACTATCTGTTTGTCCCTCTTACTTTTACCGTACACTAATTGTCAGTAATTGTGTTGATGTGCTTCTCTACTGTGTCAAATAAAATACAAAAATGTTACATTCTGCTTATGTCACAAAAATTCATTTTTCCTCACAGTTGTACAAACCACTTTTCGTTACTTGGGGGAAAAAAGTAATCACAGATTATCTTTAACTTTCATATAGAGCCTTCTTCTTCCCCTTTCTCCTGTTGTAACACTTGATTTCCCTCTGCAGTGGAAGAGTCACTTGCTGCTGACGGAGGAAGCGCCGATGACACAACAGAACTGACCGCTGGCTGACCATCCCTGTCTTGCTCCACCAACCTGTCGGCGCTGTACACCTTGTTCCACGATATCCGGTCATAAGAGCGTACGTCGTGAGGTGTGATGGCATTACCACTGGCAACAATTTCACGATACTGCTGCACAAAGAATCTGTTCACGTCTGAGATCTTCTCATAGTTTTCATAGTCCTCCAGCTGGTGAGAAAATAATCGAAGAAAAAAGTCTGTTCCATTAATTCTGATTAAATAGACCCAGGAACACATATTACGAATAAGTAGGCTATAATATAAGCCCCTACAGGGTTAAAACACACTTAACCCTTTCGCACTTAGCAGGCTTGGCCAGCTGTGGCCCCCCCATCCTTAAGACAAGGGCAACAACTCCACGAAAATTGAAGGGGTACCTTACTAAAAAAATGGTATAAAATCACAAACACTACCAAAAATGATGAAAATAGTATTTTCTGAAAGGAAAATGAATTAGCTAAATTAATAGTACAAAATTATAAGTGGAATAGAAGAGTATGAAATGATATGAGGTCTTTCTGAGATGCGTGTCTTGGATTCCGAGTCTAGATCTAGATCTAGATCTAGACCTCGTATACATTTCTTCAACTCACAAAGTTTCTGCCACTGACAAAGAAGTAATCCACACAAAAGAAATACAACACATTGACAGAGATTGAAGCCTCTGGTGGAAACGTGAAAGCACCTAAAAGACTTTTCTTTGGGTGTTTTTATTTTGTTTTTGCCGTACTCATATCGGGCAGCTTTGCGCCCATGCATCCAAGAGACATGATGGCGTGTTTACAACTAAAATCTCTTCCGACTTTTGTTCCCGCTCAAAAAGTGACTCTTTGTGCTAGCGAAACAAGAAAAACACCATATTAAACCGGAATTCTTCCTCTATAAAGATAGCTAAGTGAAACTTCTGATGATAGGAAAAGTAGAAGCCTCCCGCGGCAACGAAACAAACACCCCCGTGGCGGGCGCATTCGGGCGCTATAGGGATGGGCGGGGGTCACCAGCGCGGGCGCATACGGGTGCTGTCAGTGCAAAACGGTTAATAAGACTAAATTCAAGACTTTTTCAAGACTGAAAAATTAAAATTCAAGACCCTCCCACGGCATACTTCTTCCCAAAAGTCCCAGACGATTAACATAAAATGAATATAATAATAAACAGTGAACCCCTATAACTTGAAAACAAAACAATGTGAACGGTAAGCCCCTATAATTATAACGTACAAGTACCTACCAAGTCATATTGCAGTTGAACATCCTGATGAAATCTTGCTCATGTAAGTAGGGCCACAGCTCATATTTTATATCTATATATACTTAATTTTCACTTTGTAAAACAAGGAAGTTTGGTCTATATAGTTATATACACTATGTACAACTGTCTGAGACGATCACCTCAAAATTCCTTTAACTTCTCCTGGATAGCGGCTTCCAGAGAAGTGATATCTGCCAGCTTTGTTTTGCTCTTTTCTCTCAAGGCATTTGATCTAGAGAGCAGAAGGAAGTTGCCTTTTGCCTCAGCTTGAGCTGCTAATTTGTCCGCCTCTGATACCAAGTCATTTGACTCCACTAGCGGTTTCTGTTTCTTTTGTCTCAGAGCCATCAGATCCTCTGTTTTGGTTTCTGCCTTCCTTTTAGATTGATCTAGCCTCTTCTCCTTTTCTCTCTCCAAATACTGCTTGTCATTTTGCCTTCCACTTGCTGCCGCAGGCAGGAGTTCCTTTGTCATTGGGACTTTGGTGGTGCCACCCCATCTCTTAATGTTATCCTCCTTTGAGGAATCAGGGACACCTCTGATAAGTTCTCGTGGGTGGTTGGTCGGTGCTCTGGTGTGGTTTGCTTCTTCTTTCCTATCAAACATCTATCGTCCTTATCTCCCCTTCTTCTTTTTTATGTTTGTTATTCTCTAGCAACACCTCTAATCTTCTGGCGCTCATATGACCTTATGCAGTTGCGAGCGCCGTAAAACCTCTACTAAAACTAAAAACTAACTGATAAGTTCTCAACACTAATTTCTTTATTGAAAGAGAATCCTCTCTCCTCTGATGACTGTCCATGTGATAGAACCAGTATTATTTGCACCACTTTCCAGAGCTGAGGGCAGGAGTCTTTTAGATGTTTATGTAAGAACATGTCCAGGCGTTCAGAGGATGGAGTATGAGCAGCAAAAATTGATCGATCCACCTTCAAGCGAAAGTCATCAAACTCATCTATGATGACATCACATTCCGCGGCCGTCACTTTACTTGCCTCTCTAAGTACGTCCAAGGTTTGAGTCAGTTAGACTCTTGGCCTTCTCCTTGATCATCATGGTGGGGTCAAGGAACACACAGCAACGGACAAGCTTAAATTTGATGGTTGACTTGTCAATAAGCTTTTTAACAACTGACTGGATGAACATCCCGAAGCTATCCTTAAAAGTTAAGACTTGTAGGTCACTTTCCTTAATGAATTTCAGCAGGTCCTCGGCGGCAGTGCCGACAACAATGTGGTGGGTAGTCTTAAAGATTCCGATGTCGTCCAAGTTCAGCTTGTGGATGTCTTTGGATGCTGAAATGGTGCTCATGACGTCTGCCCTCACAACCTTATTTAGCAGCCTTTTCACCAGGTCAAAAAGATCAGAGGCAAAAAATGGTAACATTGGACTGTCTGACTGGTATGTCTTTAGGAATGGGGCAGCAACTTTAGCAACAACAAGGCTGGCTTCTAATTTTGCCTCCAGGAAAGGATCTGCAACATCTTCCTTCAGCGTAGCACAAGACTTGCACGTGGGCTCAGAACCTGTCTCTTTCCTTACTACGCTAATGAAAGTCTTGATAGAATTGTGAAGCTTGAGAGCTCTCTCCAATCTTCCCGCCTCGCAGGTTTGTCCTTGAAAAGATAATGTAGTGCTGATTAGTAGCTGCCCAGGTTAGAGTTGCTTTTGTTCATTCCATCTTTAAAGGCATTATTGATAGTATGCAGGCCACGGGATCCAATGTTGAGTAGAACTTGGCTTGTCTCCTCTTCCACTTCCTTTGAAAAGCTTTTGTATGCGGCCCAGTTGACATTCGGTCCATCCATAGATAGCTGCACTATTCCACTTCTAAAGGCAGCTTCTCCATCGATGTTCGGAGGTGTTCGTGCAAGTCTGCAGCTCTCACATGACCAAGAAATTGCGACGTCAGGTATCTCGTCTGTACTGTTTCCAACCCAATAACGAATGTGGGTGTCCAACTGCTTGAATTTCGTATGCTCATTTAGAGATTCATCAAATAGTAGCACATACTGTGATGACTGCTGCAGAGCCTTCATTTCCAGGCGTTTGATGTATGGGGCGATTCCAATCGTTGTTGTGTAGGCAGATTTTTTGTCACCACTTTGAAATTGGGCAGCAATCTGTGAATCCGGAATTATTGCTCTCTAAAGCTCTGCCACATTAGAGGTACTTGAGTTACAGTGATGTTTTTCAACCATATTCAAACAGTGAAGCACCTCAGCCTCAAGTACAGTCTCATTCGTAACAATCGATTCCACTGTTCCCGAACTTGTTGAGGCAGCAGATCCAGTGGTGGCTGCAGAACTTTGGTTTGAACTACTGGTGTTCAAGAAATCCTTCATTGTCAAAGACACACCTTGCTTACTCTTTAAGTCTACCATTTGTTTGTGCTTGGCAGATGCAAAGTAGCTTTTCAAAACACATTCGCTTCCCCGTCTTGAATCAGAGTCTGAATCTACTAGATCTAGATCTACTCTTTCATTTTCTCTTGATCTAGAATTTAGCCTTGGCCTATCTAATCTAGAATCTATATCTAGAATCTAAATCTAGTAGACTAGACTAGTATCTTATTCTTAGATCGATCACTAGACCTAGAATCTTCTTTTCCTTTGACTCTTTTTGTCATGGCACTTCAAGGCAACAAGGCTACTTTTCCGTTTGTGGACAACTTCTCCTTTCTGAATTGGCTGCTTCGTGAGTTCTTTTGGTAATCCTTTCCAGTTGGCGAGGACAGTGCTAATTAGCACCATGTTACTTGTGACGAGCTGTGATGCGAGTAGAGGGGAAGCATAATACAGTGGAAACCATATATAACAGGCCCGGTAATAACAGGGATCCGGTAATAACAGGGATTTTTAAAATCCCCGTTTTTTTCTACTCTTTGTCTCTATTAAAAGTTATCGGCAATAACAGGGCCTAATTGAAGCCCAACCGCTTATAGCAGGGACGAAGGCTAGTTAACAATGTGTAGAAAGTGAGAGAGAGAGAGAGAGAGAGAGACAGACAGACAGAGTAACGTAGTGATGGAGCAAGCCCATGCAAGCCATGCCACAGCAAGTACACGCAGCTTGTGAAGCGAGAGAGGGCTGCGGTGTGCTGCAGACCTCGATTTAGCCCGAAACCTAGCAACACATTTGCGTAATGTGCCACCAACGATGTCAATCGCAAGAAAAAATGCCTTTCAATTGACAAAAAATACTAAATAATCCAGGCTGTTGACTAAAAGCAAGCTCCACTGGCAGAGATTTGTTGTCAGTTCGACATTCCACAAGGGTCGATTCACACCTTTATTAAGGATAGAGAGAAGATAGTGGCAGCATACTCCAATGGGAAGTTTGCTCTGGATGGAAAGAAGATGAGACTACCCGATGCAGACGCTGTGGACCAAGCTCTTCCGATGTGGTTTAAGGAGGCAAGGAGAAAGTTTGTGCCAAACCCTCTGTTCGTGGGTACTTGTGGCAAGGGCAACTACCCGTGAATAAGTACGGCTGGATTAGTCCACAAATGCTTACTTTCCTTGCATTTCGGATTTAACAGGGATCGGATATAACAGGACTTTTTCTCTACTCCCACCATCCCTGTTATATCAGGTTTCCACTGTAATTATCGACATAGATGGTATCCCTTGTCCAGGAGGGGATTGATGATTCTCATATGAACATCATGAGTCTTGTTTGATAGGTGGGCCTCCATTGCATAGGTCTTAAAAGAACAGACATAAGCCTCCATTGCTCTGTGATAGGCTTTACTTTGTTTCACTGAAAACAATAGTAAGGTAATATATTTAGGTGCACATTATGATGCAAGGAAATAAATCACTTATAACTTGTAACAAAATTATCACTTCAGAGGTAAGTCCCTTGGTATGATTTGTTTCATGTTTCTAATACTAAATAACACATCTGTAATTAATTCACTGAGAATGTTTATCCTTAAAACAGTCCATTCACTTTTATGTAGAGAAGTAAAATGTCCATTCTTTCACCGAGAACGTTTATGATTATGACAGTCCATTCACTTTAAATGTGAGAGTTATAAGTCCATTCTTTGAACTGGTCTTCTGACACGTTTTGGGTAACGTCTTGGTGGTGATCTTTGTGGTGACGCTTGTCCTTGAGTGGCGTCTTGGGTTGTGTCAGGGTTAGCAATTGATGGTGGTACCGTTGGTTCCTCATCATGACCCATTGGTAGCATTGGGACGGTAGGTAGCGGAGGCAGTAATTCGTTGATGTCTGGAGCAGACTACAGCTGGTTGATATGACAGTGTCGCACCGTTCCACCTACGCGAACAGAGTAGCTGTGGGTTCCCAATCTCTGTAAGATCACTCCGTTTGTCCATCTGTTTACACCTGGCCGGTAGTTTCTGACTTTGACAGGGTCACCAGGCTGAAATTCACGGAGGATTTTTCCTTGTGCCTGAGCTTCTTGCTTGTGACGCATGTTAGACACGAGATCAGGCTTCATCAGGTCCAACCGGATTCTTATCTTTCTTTTGAATAAGAGTTCTGCTGGACTTTTGCCAGTCATCATGTGAGGCGTTGTTCGGAGTTGTAACAGGATTTTGGACAAATATTTGCGGTCCACTTTGTCCTGGGCTCGATGATTTCATAAGTCTCTTAAATGACTGAACAAGTCTCTCAGCAGATCCGTTTGTTGAAGGCATGTAAGGCTGTGAAGTTATGTGCTGTACACCATTTTCCTGAAGAAATTCTTCAAATTCACTTGACCTAAATGGTGGGCCATTATCACTGACAAGTGTGACAGGCAATCCGTGAATTGCAAAGATCTGTCTGAGCACATCATTTGTTCTCTGTGCTGTCGTTGTTGTGTCATAGGTATTATTTCAGGCCATTTTGAGTAAGCATCGATCAGCACGAGATATTTCTGACCTTCGTAATCCGCAAAATCTACATGAATCCGTTCCCATGGTTTTGACGGAAACGTCCACGCGAATACAGGAGCGGCTGCTGGCATGTTCTTCCCTTCTGCATATCTGTGACAGTCCTTGATCATTTTCTCAATGTCCAGATCTATCTCTGGCCAATATACATATGAACGAGCCATTGCTTTGGTTTTATTCATTCCGAGATGTCCTTCGTGTAGTTCATATAGTATTCTGTTTTTATACTTCTGAGGTATGATCACTCTCAGGCCCCACTGAAGAACTCCTGCCTCTGTGGTAATCTCCTCCCTTCTTTGAAAGAATGGCTTGAGATTGTCATCCTCCACGCAATTTGGCCATCCAGTCAGTGTATATTGCAGCACCTTTGACAATACTGCATCTTTTGTGGTTTCTTCTGCAATGTCAGCTGCAGAGATAAGCATGTCATTGATGTAAGAAAAATAGACTAATTTGTCCTTTTCACTCTCTGACTCTGTTTCCTTTTGTGGCAGTCTTGACAGCATGTCTGCATTGCAGTGATCTTCCCTTCTTCTGTACTGGATTTCATACTGGTAATTGGTGAGTTCCAATGACCATCTTTGGATCCTGGCAGCAGCCATCGCTGGTAGGTTTGTCTTTGGTCCAAAAATCTTTAGAACAGGCTTATGATCAGTGATCAGCGTGAAGGATCTTCCGTAGAGGTATTGGTGAAACTTGCGGACTGTATTCTAAAAATTCTTCAAATTGACAGTGCTGTGAGAGCCTTCTTAGATTTGCCAGATATTGAGAAATGCTTTCATTTTCCCTTTGGGATGCTTTGTAGAAGTTAAATCTCTCATATATGACAAGTGGTTTGGGTTTGTAGTGTTTGACTTTCTCTGATTTCGTTATTTTGACGAGCACCCAATTTCACCAGGCTGCTTCACATATATATATGTATCATCAACTTACATCCATCCACTCACACCCCGCCATCTCCTTGGGGCAAGTTTTTGTCCCTAAGCTGAGACTTTCAAATGGCAATCACTTCTTCCTCTCTGTTAGTTCTTTATTTCTTTCTCTCTCTCTTACTCTGTCCCTTTCCCATGTCTCTTGCTCTATTCTCCCCCCTCTGCCTTCTCTCTTTCCATCTCTTACCCTCTCCCTCCTTTTTCTCTTTTATTCTTTCTCTCCCTCCCTCTCTCACACCCCCCTCCACCCAAAGCTCCCTCGAGCCATATATATGTCAACTTACATCCATCCACTCGCACTCCGCGATCTCGTTAGGGCAGGCTTTTATCTCGGAGCTGAGACTTCTCATTAGGCACACAAAGTAAAAGTCGGACAGACCGAAGCGGTAGTTGTGCAGGTGCCTGAAGGCGATGACACAGACAAACTCGGACTTGACACCTGTCTCCTCAAACACCTCGCGCTCCGCGGTGGTGCTGATCTCCTCTCCTGGAATAGAAAAAAGGCTGCGATGTATGTTGTTCTTGTATGTGATGAGAATCTGGGAGTTGTTTGTGCGTGAGTGTGTGTGTGTAGGTGTGTGTGTGTTTAAATTTAAGTTCAAATAAATGGTTTCACAATGAACATTTCCTGTCTCTTCATTTGTCAATTGTATTGAATGACAATTCTGCATTATATAGCACTTGGAGCAATCTGGGGATTAGGCACTACATAAATTTACATCATTAGTATTATTTATGTGTGATCAACTTTACTTTATTGCTGTAAGTGCTAGACAATAACTAACTTTAGATGCCAAGCGAAATTGAACTAGAAGTAGAAGCAACAGAAATGTTGTTTCCTAGCAGACTGTTCAGAATTTCATTTATTGAAGGCAAATGAGGCGTTGAAAAAAACCAAGCATGAAATAGTCACATTTAGTAGAAAGTCACTAACCAGCATGAAATAGTTGCCATTACTAGGAAGAGACAGATGTTGACTTGACTTGAGCAACAATTTGCTGGCAACTGTTCAGTTGTTCTGAGCTAAAAGTGACAGTTTCTTAATCTGAGGTATCAGTTGCATGTGCTCAATAAATATTTTGTCGATTCAAATTCTAAATGTTGAAAAAAACAAGAAAAGATACACAATTTGCTAACAATTTCTTAAAGATTGAATCTGCTTTTTTATTTTTCCTGAAAAGTGTTGTTTTCTGGGCTTAAAACATTTGACCAGTTTGCCAACAAAGTTTGTTAAGACTATGACATGGTGTATGTGTAGCTCCCCACAGTTACTGTTACTGGAGGTGTCATCTCTGCCTCAGAGGTGGACATGTAATGACCCTCCATCCTTCACGGTCGTGAGCTGCCGGTGCACATTTTGCTATATCCAGGCCAGTCCATGTTTTTATGTTGTCCACCCATGTTACTCTTTGTCTTCAACTGGCTTTCCAGCCCCACATCCTTACTTCAAGCACCCCTTTTTTTCAATGGTCTCGTGTCGTTTTAAGTGGCTAAAGCATCGTATTTTCCTTCATTTTATTTTATTCAGCAGTGTTTGTCTTGTGAGGAAAATCTGATGCTGACATCTCATTGTTCATCGTTTTTGCTTTAATGCTAATTCTAACCATTCTGCGGTAGCACTACATCTCAAACGCAGCTATACTGTTTTCTTCTTTCTTTGTCAAAGTCCAGGTCTCAGCACCATAGATACGACTATATGGGAAGATTGAGCATTCCAGCATTTTTTTTCTTAAACTTAAAGGTAGAGATAATTGCTCCCCACTAGCCGGTGAATAACAACTGGAACTGTCTGGGTTGAAAATAGATCTAAGATTACTAAGAACAGTATTAACAGGGTGTCCAGCAAAGTTGTAAAAAAGTCGTAAATTTGGTGCCCTGGTCGTAAAGGTCGTAAATGGCAGTAAATGTGCCATGGCGGAGGTCGTAAATTAACCTGCCTACGGAATGATGAAGCCAGCAAGACTTTTCAGTGAGCCATAGCCTCAGTACATGAATCCGTTTTTGCCGGTCACGATTGCGATATAATATACAGTCAAACCTGTGTAAGACGGCCACCCATTGTCAAGGAGAAAAGTGGCCGTATAAGACAGGTGACCGTCTTAGGCAGGACTGATAAAGATGAAGAAAACAAACCATTCCCATCTAAAGTCCCAACCGAAAGTAGCTGCACTGTTCTTGTTTTTGTTGTTGTTGGTTTGTATTTTGTTTGTTATTTTTATTTTGTTGCTGATTTTGCGCAAGAGTGACAGTAAAACGAAATGTATCAGACAAGGAAGACCGAGTGCCATGTTAAAACAAACACATGGGTCTCCACCACTCGGAGAACGAGTGACGCTTCTGTCGCAAGTTCATGTTGACGTCCATTGTTACTTTGTTACAGACTGGCTAAACAGTGACCACTCATCTCACGTACGATTTTTGTATGAGTTTTGGGCGGGGCTTATGGGTTATGAGGGATCACATGCTTACCTCACCAGCAGCTGAAAATTTGTTACCTATTTGTCAACAGTGGGATCGGTTGGAGGAACTACCTAACAACAACGACAGGTGATTGGATTATGACGGCTCGCCCACAACGCCAGGGGCCAATGCACAATTTATGACAAAACATAATAGAGTCACTGAGGTGGCCGTCTAAGACAGGTGTTATTGCTTTGAGTGATAAGGGTTGTGTATTAAAATATGGTGGCCGCGGCCGCGTTGGACAAGTGCCCGTTTTACACAGTTAAATTATATAGAAAAAACGCTAGGGGGAAATGGAAAGTGGCCGTTTGTACGGGTGGCCGTCTTATAGAGGTGGCCGTCAGGGCAGGTTCGACTGTACATTCGTTCACCTTTTTCCTGTCCGAGAGTACGTTTCACGCGAAAAGGCGCTATGGCGGCAGGCAGAAGTGTATGTGACACAGAGGCTCGATCGGGAAAATCGAGATCTACTTTCGCTTTCGTGACCACCCAGAAATTTGCGGCGATAGACTGATACATTGTCACGCAACATCTGTGACATGCTGGTTGTACAGGATAAACGCTGTGTCGCCGGCGCCGCGCAAATAAAATTTAATCAATACTCGGACTCGTCACTTTGCTGTCTCTTGTTGCGGGGGGGAGAAAATACAAGCGTCTGCAGATTTTTGGATTGTCGGGCTCGCCAGCGTGACCGGTCAGTGAACCTGCACTCGTTCGCACCACAGGAAACGGCATTATGTGAGCAGATCTACCGGGCCGCTGTGGGGTCGCCAAAGTTCATTCAAAGTCTGAGCGTTGCGAAGTATAGGACTACGGAATGGGGCAGGGGATTATTGATTTTTTTAAAAAAGATACACTCGTGGGGGTGCTGAAGGCAACTCCAGAGGACAAAAACTTGGAAGCAAAATCAGAATTTTGATTAGATTTAGAGCTCTCTCCAAAGCGCGCGTTGGTGCAGGTTGTGTGTAGAATCGGAATCTTTCATACCTTGTAAGCAGTGATATTGGAATAAAGTGTACGTATTTTGTTAGTTTGGTGATGGTATATTATATAATAACAATATTATTGTACCTTTCTGTTCAAGACTGGCAGATTTTCTGTGTCACTGCATCTTGTCCCCACAGTTCTCACACTGCATGGGTCTTCTTGAGCTATTCAAGTTATTACTCTACTTTGAGTTTGAGGAATAATTTTTGTCTTTCACGTTCATAATATATAGGTACCAGAAACTAAATTTTCAAACTAGCTGTATGCCAAATGTATCTGTTCCATTTGAAAGGCCTATATCCACTGAGCATTTTGGTACCATTCTTTAACCTCTCCGTCAATTTTTAAGAAAATTGTAGTTGTTTAAAATTTGATCAAATTTGTTAAAGTCAGTCACTGGCTGCAACCCCATGTTTGACAGACAATAAAAGAGTACCAAGTGCACTAAACATCTCCACATTAACAGAGTACAATCACTATAACAAATATATGGAGCATAATTTTTTTCAAGACTGTGAGATCTTTACAAATCAGTATTTTATTGCCTCAAACACGATGATCTGTCGTTATTTCGACAAAAACACCGAGCGTTGACCTGGCCGGTGCCGCACCGGGCCCCGCGGCGAGCGAGTCGGCTCTATACTGTAGTGTACCACGGATGCGGGGTCACATGCTTTCTGAGTTTCGCGGAAGGATTGATGTAAAATAATTCCAATTTAATTACTTTATTCTAATAGAATATGAACTGATCTTTTAATTAATACTTTTTATAAGCCGGTATTTTACATATTTTGTGTAAAAAGTGATCTTTAAACATTTTGACGGTATTTTTAAAAGCTTTCTATCAAGACGCCAACGGCTAAACTTATATCACGGGAAAGCCCGTTTAAAGCTCTACAGTTCTCAGCCAATGAAAAGACGGTATTTAATCATCCCTCGTTCCGCGAAGCATTTGAATGCACGCGTGTCAATTTTTCACCCGGCCGACCTCGCATTCTGACCGCGAGGGGCTTCGCTTTCGTCGGCGATTCTCCAGCTCCTACTAATCGGACATATAAACAACTTACTCCATTGTAACGAGGAAAAGCTGAACTTTTACAAGGTGTACGGCATTTGGTGTTTTATAGCGAAAGAAGAAAGAAACAGCGATCGGAATTACCCCGATTTTACCGATACCACGCGGTCGGAAGGCCGCGAGTGCCCGCGAGGCCGTGTTTACACTACCTATAATATAAGTCATGACACCCAGACTGGTTCTCGACAGACTGGATATATACTATGTGCGTGTGTTGTTATGTAACATGCCCCTGGAAAATGGATGACCACCTGGAAAATTGAGGAGCCACTTTGGCAGTCACCCTGTGTGCACACATTAGGTGTAAATCCGCCCCCTCCCACCACCAGGGCAGTGCTGCTGACTGAAGCATCTTTAGGCCATTCCAAAAGGAGGGATATTTACCTGTTCTTAAGCACAATAGAATTGTAAATATGCGCTGATTTATCAATGTCATGCTCATACTGTGGCGGAACAACATATGGGGAACTGCTGCTTTTTCTTTCCTCTTCCTTATTATTGTCATTTTCCTCTACTTTTTTAAAATGTTTGTCACTCTTGTGAACTACTGTTTCCGGGGTGCCTTGATAGTTGAAGCAGACTTTGTGCTGTGGTGGCTAGAGAGGTGAGCAGAGTGAGCTTGATTCCCCGTTTGGACTTCTCTGTTGACACCCACCCCTTGTTGCTCATATATGGCCTTATGCAGTTGCGAGCGCTGTAAAAACCTAACTAAAACTAAACCTAATGGTGAGCAAGCTAGTGATTGTCTGTCTATCCTTCATTTTGTTGACTGGACTTTGTTGTGTGTTGTTTTCGTTCCATTTATTATGCAATAATAATAATAATAATATATGTTATTGATGGCGCAAATGAACTCCCTTTTTCGAGCTGGTGTGGGACTTGATTTGCTGGGTAGTAAATTTTTTTTCCAGGTAGTAAATTTTTTCAGGAAATATTGCTGGACACCCTGATTAAGTATGAGAGAAGTGAAAAAACCCCAAAAGATCTTCAACAAGATTCTCATGGCAATCTGACCTCTGTCTGCGTGACCTCCAGGAAGTTTCCAGGGAGAGCGGAGGTTAGTGTTGTGGTAGCGCTCTCGGACAACCAGGACCTGGTTCTTTTCGTTGACCACAAAGCCGGCCACACCTGGGGGTGGACATAGGAAATTCATTTATATATCAGTTATGTGTTTATTTTGCAAGTTTTAAAAGGGGCTTTAACAAGAAAGAAAAATCAATGCATGCGAAATGAGGTGTCTCCGTAAAACCATCAACATCACAAGAACAGACCACATAAGAAATGAAACCATAATGTCTACAAACTGGTATACCACCAGTAATAAATTCATAGAGCGTCGAAAAGTCAAATGGTTTGGACATCTAACCAGAATGCCCCAAATAAAACTAGCGGCTAGAGCTTAAAACACCAGAGAATCCGGCTTCAAATCCAGAGGAAGACCAAGAAAGATGGGGATAAAAAGGTCCTGGGAACAACATAACAAATAACATGATCTATCACAGACGCTACACACCTAGCACAGGACCGAAACCTGCACCTCTCCCTGACATCCTAAGGATACCAGAGGACGGAAAAAGTAAAGTAAGCATAAAGAGTTCGATGATACTTATTATTTATTACCGTGAGTTTTTTGGGGTCATGTTTATAAATTTGATTAGAACATGTTTCTCTATTTCTCACACACACACACTCTCTCTCTCTCTTTCTCTGTACGGTATGTGTGTAGGTGTAGTATGTAGGCATGCAAGTATGTAGGAGTGTGTGTGTGTGTGTATGAATGTATGTACATATGTATGTGTGAGTATGAGTGTATATGTGTGTGTTCACGTGTGGGCTTGCGTGCGTGCGTGTGTGCGTGCGTGCGTGTCCAATTTATGCTAAATATCCAATGAGCTGCACCAATGTAGGCCTATGTAATTGCCGAGCCTTATGTTAAAATGTGTGTGGATGTACGGGCCAAAGGCCTTTCAAATCAATAAATCATTTTGAAATCTATGAAAAAAATCTCTCTCTCTCTCTCACCTATTCCTCAACTACAGCCCCTCCCCGCACCCTCTCTCTTTTTCAATGGAATAAAATAATTATATTAAAGTAAAGGACTATCCAAAGAGATTGCATGTGTATAAATTATAAACGGTCTCTTCAGATTATTTTCAAATGCTTCTACTTTATCTACTTATTTTTATTAAAGACTCCTTACACTTACAATATATTACATGAAATGAAAGGCTGCTCTTTTTGTCAAAATTGTTAATACATCAATATAATACATTTCCTTGCATTTTATTTTCATTTTAGCTAGGTGGGTGAGTAAGCTAGACAATAATTACATAATTTATATAGTACATGCATAAAAGCAATGCAACATGCTCTATGTGTTTTACAACTATTATTGCACATACCTAGATAGTGGTTGGCGTACGCTGGCAGGTTGTTGGGTAGTGTCTCTGGTAGCCAAATTGTAAGCATAGCATAACCAGGTTCAGCATGGTGGTAGTCAAACCCTAGCTGAAATGAGAGTTGTCATAATTTTATTTCAATGCTATTTGTCTCTCAGGATTTCACCGAATTTCAACACTTCTCTGTTGGTCTCTGTCTGACCGCAACATCATACTAGACACAGAAGAAATAATTCTGAAATCTCCCTTTGTCACAATTTTGATCATATTACAGTGGAACCCACTTATAACGAGTCCTGAAATAACGAGAAGTCTGTTATAAAGACACTATTCTAAAACCCTGTTTTTTTCCTTCTTTATCTTTGTAAATAAAATACTGCTATAACGCAATCAGACCAACACGCGAGTCGGTTATAGCGGAATATTGCTGCTGCTGTGCACAGCGCATAGGCCATTTAAAACCTCGCAATTTGAGAAACTTGTTGGTTATCTAGCAAAACAAAGAGTGGGAGAGCCCACGTGTGCCAACAATGAAGGCCGGAGCATGAGTGGGGAGAGTGTGGCATACACAGACAAGCAGAACGCATCATGTGATAGGCCAGCCTAGTCTAGATTATCTAGGCCTACCATGCCTCTCACTTCTCCGATGCGGGGATGGAGAGGTCATAGAGCTGTACTGCGATGGACGGAGCGAATGTGTGATCTGGGCAGGGTCTGGTATGTTCCTATTGTGTGCAACCAGATGGGACGCACCACAGGGTGTGGTAGGGTGGGGGACAACATAGCGGGCGAGTTAGCCTAGAGAACTTTCTTTCTGTTCGCCAATGCCGAGCTGTCAACATCGCTAGCACTAGAGAATGAAACCAGATTCAACTTTTGATCAAGTAAGACTTAAAAGTCATTTTGAGCCAAATCATCATCAGGGGAGATTACTACAAAAAGAAATAACTGAAAATCAGACTCGTAGATTGGGCCTACTTTACTATTTCGCTTGAATTTATTACTGGATCCCTTATAACGAGAATCCTGCTATAACGGACATTTGGCACCTGTCCCCTCCCTCTCGTTATAACAGGATTCCACTGTACTACGGAAAGGGCTGCTTCGATACTGAGTACCAGTTAGGGACAATGTGGGCTGAGAAAGAGAGAGGTACAGAATCTTTGCAGAATACTTGATAATAGTAGACTTCCCAAATCTGGAATCAAACTCACTTCTTTCACTTGCAATGGCAAAGAGACTAACAATTGGACTATAGAGGCCAATACATTCATGATGATAAATAGTTCAGATGTAGGCCTACATTCTATTGGAAACCAAAATAGCTTGGCAGGATAGGCAACATCATCTCACAGCCATAGTCAAGCAGCCTTCGTAAATGTCACAAATAGCATAAGAGCACTGGGTGGCATTTGAAAATCTTGCAAAAATCAAGAGCAATGTACATGGGCATGATTTTCAAGCTTACGAACAAGAGAGAGGCTCCACCAAAATTTAAAAAATGAATTTTAAAAAATAAAGATTTGACACGACACGTAGCGCTGACCTCAATTAGCTGGGGTATACAGGCCGAGAGTTCCTTTTGTACAGTGACCCATACCCCTCGGTGACCCTTGGCTCGCCAGGTAGGTAGCGCATCTGGGGGTGAAAAAGAAAAAATAGGAACTTGCTAAAGAAGACTGCCGCACAGGAGAAAAAAGGGGCCGAAAAAGGAAGGTTATTTTAAGGTCCTTGGGGAGAAGTCGTTAGTTTCTATTTTCCTCCTTGTCTGTCTTGACCAATTGTATGACCGTTTCATTCATCCTTCAAAATTCAAAACATTAATCAAAAAGAGCCATGGGTCATAGTCATCGTCCAACATATGTGTGTGCGTGTGAGTGTGTATGTGTGTGTGGTGTGTGTGTGTGTGTGGTGTGTATGTGTGTGCGCGCGTGTGTGTGTGTGAGAGAGAGAGAGACAGAGAGAGAGAGAGAGAGAAACAGAGAGAGAGACAAAGAGAGAGAGACAGAGAGAGAAAGAGAGAGAGAGAGAGAGCAGATGGCCGGAAGCGCACGCGTAAAAATGTACGTAATGGCTGGTTGGAAGGCACCACTGGTAGGTCCTACCACTTTACTTTCCCTCTGTTGTTTCTCATCTGTTTGTCTGTTTTACTTTTCTCCAGCACTAAAACACTAAAAGACCATTATTATGTCAATGTACTTCTCTTTACTCAAACTAACAAAACAAAACTTACCACGAAGACTTGTGATGAAGTCCTGGCCCCTCACTTGCTGCTTTTCCGTGTCCACGTGAACCGAGGAAAATCTGAGAGAGAACAGAGAACAGTTGTTGTTATTGCTGTAATTATCATTGTTGGTGACAGTTGTTGTTGTGGCAGTGAAAGTTGATGTGGTGATGGTTGTTGTTGTAGCGGTGGTTGTTGTGTTGTTACGTATGACATTTTTGTTGCAGTAGCTGTTTTTGTAGTTGTTGTTGTTGTCCAAAAGCTACATGGTTGAACACAGAGTAATAAGAGACTGGCAACAGTGTTGTTATGATTACACCCTTACCTTACTCCTAAAAGATATAGGCAAGATGTTATTATAATTTGTTTTATAGAGCAATGTTGATATCGATAGATCAAAATCTGCCTGCTGAATGTAATGTAAGAGCTTTTTACAAGTCAGGCATGGGCAACTGTGTTGAAGTCGCCAGCCGGATTTCGTGATCTCGAATGTCTCAAGGGCCAAAGCAGGAGAAAAGTAGGTGAAATCGATTGACATACCCGGACCTCAAAGTGAAAGTGAAATTGACACTACATCATATGTCACTCAGAGGCATTTTGTGAGACAAAATATAAGATCTATCGCTTTCAGCTGGGCCAGAAACTACTGGAATCGATTTTAGTTTTTAAAACCAAGAGTTTTGTCTTTTACCAGATATCAACTTACCATGTGCCACTTTCACTGGGTCGACTAACAGGCTAGACTGAAACTGCTTGAAGGCCGAACTTGGTCAGTGGACTGCAGCTTGCCCATGTCTGGACTGAGCATTTCGTCAAGCTGCCTACAACATCAGAAACTTAAACTTTGAACTTTGACCTTGACCTACCTGTCAAGTGAGTAGATAATCTGGTCTGCCATGGACGTTGGCAGTAGAGATCACAATAGGGGAAAAGATACTGCTCTCAAAGAAGATCGACAGTAGGGTCGATGTGACTGTCAAACTGAGGAGATCAAATAGAAAGGGTAGACTAAAATAGTAAAAACAAATGTGATTGATGATCTGCACAATTTGCACATATTTTATACACGTACAAACATTCATATTTCAATACATGTTATAATGACAATAATAATATGTTGGCCTCTCATTCAAAAGTCACGGGCTCCAATCCGGGTAGCGACCGAAAAAATGTCTTCTCTAAAAATTGTCTCCTTTCACCCCCTTTCCTGCTCTCTAGCAATGTTCTGTCGTCTGCTTTCGTCTCCTATTTCTGCCCCCACCCCCTCACCTCCTTTGTCCCCTCACCGGGGCTCCTGACTCTTTCTGCAGCCTTTCTACTGCTACTCCTTGGCTCCTTCTCACTGCTGTCCTTCTGCAACACCCCTGATCTTCTGGTAGGAAAGATCTACATGTAGCCTTCTCGAACAAGAGCGAAATATCTCGGAGGGCCCGTGTGCAAGTTGCGTACGTTAAAGATCCCTTGGTGGTCTAAAATCGATAAGAGTAGGCTTCGGCCGCCACCTGGGCAAAATTCAAAATTTCCTACCAACTGAAAATATTAGGTGCGTCCCGCGCGCTCATATGACCTTATGCAGTTGCGAGCGCCGTAAAATACTTACCCCCAAAAAATAATAATAATAACTTGCACTTGTGTAGCCCATATCCCTGTTCAACAGGAAGCTCTTTGCACTTTACAATCTATATCACTACTTCAACAGACCCTAGAACACTCAGAAACAGTCTCGGCTTCCCACGAAGCATACAGTGCAAGCAGCCGAGCACTCAAACAGTCAAGCTTCGTTGCACCGCTCCATATTGCCAATGTACACTGTTAGATGATATAAACAAAGTATTTGAGCCTTTACACTGCTGTCTGCGCTGTACAGTCACTATCAAACTACTGTAAATGTGTCCCGCTGTAGGCCTATCGCCAGCGAATAGGTCACTAAAGGTACTACACATTGCTCAAGGCACTCACTCTTTCCCTAATACGTCTTAGCGAGTTCAGCCTATTTCTAGCATTTGTTGCCAATTTACTACTGATTTGCCCTACTTATGAAAATACTATCATTTTTAGGCTTTGCCAATATTCTTTTAAAAAATGGTAATGAAATTCTAAAGTCGCCTGGAGACACATCAAAGGAATGGCGCCACTTCGGCATGTCAGCAAAATATCAGGCGACATGGCTTCTATATTGTGAGGATCCACGACGAGAAAGGTCTGAGGTGGTCCCATGACTGATGAGTATCGGGTTAAAAAATGTAAGTCTAAAGAGTCTTTTGACACATAATATAGCCTATAGCTTCTGATCCGGCAGAAATGTTCAATCTGAATTTACAATTAAGTTCAGCAGGAGCTGTTCATGTAATTGGTTGCTGCTCGTTTTTCCATGTGCATGGCAAGTGCAATTGCGCTTGCCAGATCGAGATCAGTCAAGACTGGCCACAATTTGTCTCTAGTCTCTACCCCTTCTCAAGATGGCAACCGGTGCTATCCCATTATACCGCCAGCCCCGCTGTACTGCCAACTTCATACTTGCCCAAAGGTAGGTGGTAGAACATGGTTTCACTGTATTTGTGTGTGCACTTACATCTGACCATTGTGCAAAAATATAATTCATTACAATTATATTCTGGTAATGGTCTATTTCAGCCCCCCATTCTCAGTTAGAGAAAAGAGTAGCACATTGATACAAAATAAGGGTCATTTAGGTCAGGGAAGAAGCAGGCAGACAGAGGAAACAGAGGGAAATAAAATAAAAATGTAGGACCCACAGTGGCGCCTTCCAACCACCCCTCTCCCCATTCTCAAAATGAATCAAAATCATCTTCACGCACGATGCCACTGCTACCCCCATGTTGGCCCAACAGAGAATGGGGACCTTGGATGTGTTAAGTAGGTCTAGTAAATGAAGACATTTACTCACGAACGTCACAAATACCTGGAAAGACTGTGTAACATCACAAAGTTGTCTATTTCTTTCCCCACGATAGAGTGATGTCAGTGGAGCACGTAATATATTTTTGTGACGATAGATTGAGATTATTTTAGCCCCCTCCACACATATCATATCATTCAGAGGGAAGGCTGATTTTAATCATGACTACCAGAGTATTCAGAGTAGAGCCAACCTGTGCTGAAAGAGATACAAAATCATAGGAGATAGACAGAAATACAAGTACAGACCAGTCCATTTATAACAGCCTCTGTTATTACAGGAACTTGATAAATCAAATCCCGGGGGGGGGGGGGGGGGGGGGGTCTTCATAAGGGTAAGTAATATGAACCTGGCTATAACAGGGTTCAATTTGCGAGGACTAAGATATAACAGTGATCTTGCAGCGCATGAACTTGCTTTCAATCCGTCAAATTATTTAAATTTGTCTCGACCAGGACATTTCGCCTGTTTGTATGATCGCTTGCCAAAACACAAACTTTCAACCCCCCCTCCCCCCCCATATAGTGTCGGGGTCACTGATCGATTCCGTCTCAGTGTTAGCAAAACAGCCCACTGGAAAAGGATCTGTGGTAATCGAATACTAATCAGTAACCTGAGGTCGTAATGGTACTGGTAGTTTCCCTTGATAACTGTTAAAACAGGAGTTGCTCAAAACAGGGAAAAAACCCGTCTGTCCAGTTATATCGGATTTTGACTGTAATCCATACTGAACAAAATAACTTCTCCACTTCTGAATCAAACTCACATCCTCTGCATGCAACGGCAAAAAACCAAACACTATACCATACCACTGATGCCAGTGTATTTCTTTGTGTGGAGATGACTATGGCAGCAAAGATTTTTTTCCCCACTCATCAATTAAATGGAAAAATTAGTGTAAGACATGAGTCTTCCTGTCTTCTCTAAATTTAATTGGACTTGAGCACTTACTTTTCATGTTACGTCATATCAAATCAGGTATATGTTAAGTGTAATTTTAAGAGAAAAATGTAGATGTTCTAAACTCATCACAATAATTGAGATAATTTAGGAGTATATAATGTATTAGGAGGGGACTGTTTCAACCGAGCCGGTCAGGACCAAACCAGGTTGAGAAAGAAACAGCATCCCATCAGAAGATGGAAATACTCTTTAAAAAATCTCCCCATATGGGAATTGAACACATAAGTCTCCTGCACGTGACAGTGACAGCAGAGTACAACCACAGATGTCTTGACTTCATCAGACATAAAATATTGGGACACATACTTTTTGATATATATATCTAGTCTTATTGGGTAGTCAATTACAAGTTGTAGAGAGGGTCCAAGCTCATTTAATATTATAATATATAATGTATATAATATATATATATATATATAATTATGTTAGTCTTTCATGCCCCATCAATACAATTAAGATCATTTTGGAGGCCGGCTGCTGCAACTTTGTCAGCCAGAGCCAACCCGGGTTGAGAGGGATACGATGTCCCAGCAGAAAGACGTACATGTAGAAGACACACGGAAAAACTTTTCCCCACATGGGAATCAAATTCACTCTTCTGAATGCAGCATTCAGGTTGAAGCATACTACACCTCAGATACCAGTCAGGGTCTGAACGGGAGCCTCTTTTTTTCTTAACAGAAAGCATCTTTTGAGGACAGGTGAAGCTTGAATTTAATTGTGGAGAGGGCGCATTTTTTTTGGGCTTCTATTCGTTTGAAAAGGTGCCTCTTTTGTTGTTTGGGAGGATACATGATTGTTTCATTGTTGATTGAAGTAAGGAGGGCTTGTTAATGGGTTTTTCGTTGTTGTTTTTTTAGTGGGTATTTTTACGCCCCGATCAACAAAATTTAGATCATTTAGAAGGCAGGCTTCTGACACTGCTTGTCAAAGCCAACCCGAACTGAGAGGAATGCAACAACCCATCAGAAAGACTGAAATACAGTATAACACGGATAGTTCGAATTCATCTGGACCGGCCTATGAAGTTCGAGGGATCCACAGTTCAAGGGATATCTTACAAAGATAAAGAAGTAAAAAAAAAAGGGTGACCTTATTTGGGCCACAGTGTGGCCTAAATAAGCTAAACCCCCCTCCCTTACCTTATTTAGGCCACACTGTGGCCCAAATAAGCTAAACCCCCCTCCCTTACCTTATTTAGGCCACATCATATGGTAGATTTCTTGAACTAACCATGGATTCGGAAGGTCGAGATTCTACTGATCTTTTTATTTAGTGCGGGGGATTATTTCAAAATAGAGGATGATTCTAAATAAGTGGACCAAGTGTAAGAGTTGTGTGTGTGTGTGTGTGTGTGTGAGTGTGTGGGTGTGGGTGTGTATGTGTTTGTTTTGTGTGTGGTTGTGGTGAGAGAGAGAGAGAGATCTAGAGAGAGAGAGAGTAAATGTAGTAGTGTGTTTGTATGTGTGTAATGTGTGAATGTTATTGTGTGCATGAGTGTCTATCTCAGTTGTACGGTCCAAATGTACATTATTTTGTTGAGAATTTTACATAGAACTCAACTACAAAACACCTTTATACAAAGTCACAGAAATATTCTTTTTGTGCTTATTGAGGTGCAGTACAGGGTGATTAAAACCTGCAAGGATAATTGGACAAAATGGGCAATATCTTACTAATGCTAATACTAATGGTCATATTTGGACAAATCCTATATCATTCTCTTTTTTTCTTAACAGCTCATGGTTATTAAAGAGTCAGCAAACTAGATCAAGGTAGTAATTTCGGATTCCTAATATTATGGGCATTCTTATAAAAATTTAAACTTGTTTTTAGCGCTTTTTTCAACGTAAAACGGATTCCGTTAAAAAAACAGCAACAACAATGACCTTATCTTTCTTTTTTAAGGTATTGTGCATACATTTGTGTGAAACTATTTTATTCTATGCTTTCAAGTACATGAAAAAAGCTAATAAAATCAAGCAAAATGTTCTTCAGAGACATAGATCTAGTAGTAAGCCCACTGGAACATTTTATAAACCGTGAAAAGATGACCAGAAAATAACAAAATTATCTTATGATTTTCACTTGCACTTGCAATTTTTTTGACAAATTATCGTCTACCTCGTTATCTTTTTTTTTCCACATTTTTCTTCACTATTCATGACAACTGGCATGTTTTTCAGTTATTATCAAGGAAGTGGATAGGCGGACCACGGGGTCTATCTAGCCCCAAAAGGATAGGTGGACCGCGGGGTCTACCTAACAAAATGCTGTTTTAGGATGTGAACCCTGGAATCAGCGTAGTGAAATAAGTAGATCTAGGTTTGACTAAGGATCGGTGGACCCCGGGGTCAACATAGTGAAATAAGTAGATCTCAGTTTATTTTATAGTAAGACTGGCGGAGCCCGTGGTCAACGTAGTGAAATTATAAGTAGATCTAGGTTTAAATTAATAAGGATTGGTGGACCCCTGGGTCAACGTAGTGAAATTATAAGTAGATCTAGATTTAATTAAGGTTTGGTGGACCCTGGGGTCAACGTAGTGAAATAAGTACATGTAGATCTTGGTTTAATTTTAAGGATTGGTGGACCCAGGAGTCAACGTAGTGAAATAGGAAGGTGTAGGTTTAAGGTGGACCCCAGGGTCTACCTAACGAAATTTAATACTAGTTAGGTTTTAGAATAGGTGGACCATGCGGTCACCGTAGTAAAATAAGTAGGTTTAATCACGGTGTCCCGGGGGTCCACCAATTCTTAATTAAACCTTCTTATTCCTCTACGGCTATGGTGACTCCGGGGTCCACCAATCCTTTTAAAATTAAACCTACTTATTTCACTACGGTGACCCCGGGGTCTACTAATCTTTAAATAAATCTACTTACATGTATTTCACTACGGTGACCCCGGGGTCCACCTGTCCTAAAACCTAGTATTTTGCTAGGTAGACCCCGTTTTTAACAATATCCAGAAAATAACATAAAATGATTATATAGATCTATATCTATACGTATTTTATTTAAAAGTATATACTTAAAAATAAAAGACTGAGCAGAGGCTTACAATGTAAATTCTGTGCTCTACACGTAGAGAAAGTCTTAAGTTTGCGCAAAACAGATTTTAGAAAAAAAGTTGATCTAATTATTCTAATAAAAGTAAAAGTGATTGTTATGGTGAGATTTGTTATTATTAATTCTGGAAATACAGATAGTTGCTGAATCTAAAATTAACTAGAACTGTGCAATTCGTTTTATTTAAATTCCAAAGCCCAAAGGCATAGCAATGAGTTAGATCTAGATCTAGCAGTTGTAGGCTCTCTGGCTGCTTCTAGCATTTGTCTGCTACTACTGATTCTAGACAGGGAATCTAGATCTAGCTATCACCTGCACTATTAAAGTCAAATATATGGTAAAATAAAAACAAAACTGTGAATCGCTTTGTCAGTCAGTACATCCCAATTGCCATAGCAGCACATATTAATAGTTGAATAATTATACCGAAGCAACATGTTATCACAGTGTGCAGGGGAGAGCGGGGTGCCCGGGTCGCTGACCGGTCGATTCGGTGATTCGGCTTTTGTAGATCTATGCATTTTTTACGGAAAGCCCTATTACTAGATCTATTAGTGTTGTGAAAACTTCAACCTCTACAGCTAAGGCGGCAGAAGATGTTGGAAAATAATAATACGTCCTGAAGTTTCATAATTTATACAGAATAATACAGCCAGTAGTTTTTATCTCATCGAGTTATAAAAATGGCCTTGTAACTTGTTTTCAGAAGCAAATTTTAATAGTTACAGTTCTACCGAATCGATTTTCACGCAAATTCAACCATTTTGATGACCATTTCTTTTCCTTTTAAAAAGATAAAGGCCTGTCGGATGTGGCAGTGCGATTAACACTAAGTTGTTTAGACCTATCAAAACACGAGGCTTCGTGGCCGATCACAAAGGTCTACGGGGCTTATCAAGGCCGATTCGCCCTGCCGCGTGCACGTTCACTAAACTGCCTACTAGATAGAATCTACTACCAAAGATTCTTCTCGATCTTTGCTACTACTACTACTACTACATCTACACATGTAGGCTACTACTACTAGACAGTACAAGAGATGTACTACTACGAGACAGTATGAGAGAGTGCCACCCAGGCAAAGATAGTGTAACTTTGACTCAGCCACGTTGTGTACACACTTTTTATACCCCAAATTTGACCATGAAGTCCATTCGGAGGATTTGACCTTTTTACTTGACCAAAGTGTGCCAAAATGGTAGCCTAGATTTTGCCCCTCCATGAAGGAAAAATCTGGCCCTCATTCAAACCATTGAGATTGAGCAAAACTTTGCGTATCGTGCTTTGTTCTTACAATATTCATTATGATATATATAAGTTGTACACTGAGACAAAACTGTACTAAATGAGAAAGGTGCACCATTATGAAAGTGGAACGAACTCAGTTGCCTTAAAAGGGTGTCCCCTGGTAGTTTGAGCATGTGTGGCCTAAATAAGCTAAACCCCCCTCCCTTACCTTATTTAGGCCATATGTGGCCCAAATAAGCACTCCCAAAAAAAAAATGGGACCGCAAGCACAGTTCGAGAGATGCATGATTTAGAGTCTTCTGTGTTCGACCTATCCATTTTATACTGTACATGATAAAAATCCTGTCCACTTGGGAATTGAACACAAGTCTCCTGTGTGTGACAGTAAAGCATCTAATCACTACAAAACAGACGGCGATTTTGTAACGTACATAATGGTATTTGTCTGAAATGGTGCCTATTTGCCAAATACCAAAATGGAAAACCTTTGATTTGAGGAAAAAATGCACACTGACACAATTACGGCCAAACGGTGCTGGAAAAAAGCAAAATAGGCAGGCGGAGAAGTGAAAGAACAGAATACTAATATAGTGGGTCTAATAAGGCATTAATTTTTAAGGTTAATGTAATCATTAATTTTTTAAATGGTAGGTCTACGATGAAGTTTGAGGATATCTGCGGGAGATCTTTCATACACATGTATGCCTTCGCAAGACAGATTAAAGAGTCTTTGGTAAAAGCATATTTCAGTCCTCCATTCAGAACTTATTAGACCTAATACGCACTCTCAGGGTCTCCACTCTCTGTGGGGCCACATTTGGGTTGCCTTGATGTCATGCGTGAAGTGAAAAGTGAAAGGCATTTAAATTCAAAGAATGGGAGGGTAGAAATTTACTTTTACAAAAAGTACTTGAGACAGGGGAGATATATTGAACTGGTGCTGCAAAACAGAATTCTGACTCTCAGGCACTAGCAATGACATTTGTTGAAGTGCATTGAAGTACATCGACAAATCAATGGTGTTTTTTTTTAAGTGCTGGGAAAAAGAAAAAGGACAGACAGAAACAACAGAGGGAAAAGAAAAGAAGTTGGAGTTACTAGTGACACCTTCCAATTATAAGCAGCTGTGTCATGGAAGATTCTGCATTTGTAGTTCGTTCTGGGCTGTTGTGGGATTTAAGTAAAGAAGTACCACACATACATGCCAGAACGAACTTTTCTTTTCCTTTCTCATGAAAGTTCCTGTGCTAATGTGTATAGAGACCTACTGTGTTTGGGGAAATATATTTTTTCGCTTCAAATTCATATTTCTTAATCACACATGACACTCACACAATACACATGAAGCACTTCTACAATAAAAAAAAAGAATAGAAATAGATTAATGTATGAGCTCAAAGTGAAGTTCCATGGCTTAAAAACCGACATAACATTATACACAGATACTTCGCAAGACAAATAAACAAGCTGATACTACTGATAACAAAAGGAACTTTATTACTCTACTCAATACCCTCCCTGTCTTTAAAAGCTTTCTTCAACGCTAATTTGGCTCTTGCTCTTTTCTTTTTCTCTATCTTTCCTTCCATCTTGTCCTGTTTCAGCTGACCCAAATAGCTGTCTTCTCCATGCATCTCAAGGTCCAGTTTCTCCTCCAATAACTTTTTCGCTTGTTTCCTGTTCTCCTGTAGTGAACGAGTAGCCTGGCACTGAAAAATCCAATAAAAAAAGAGAAGATATTCATCCATCTACAATATATCTATCTATTTATCAGTCTATGTAACTTTGCATACTATAATTTATCTAGATCTAATTAAATTGTTCTAATAATAATAGAGAGATAACATTTGTATAGTGCAAAATCCCCGCTCAACAGCAAGCTCTATGCGCTTCACAGTCTATACTAATTACCCCAGCAGACCTGAGAGCATTCTGAAACAACCTGGGAAGCATACAGTGGAAGTGGCCATTTATAGGCGCTAAAACAGTAACATACTGACAAGGTCTTTCGTTGTCTATGGCCGGGTACCTATTCACACCTGGGTGAAGAGAGGAAAACTCGTGTAAAGTGCCTTTCCCAGGTACACAACGCCGGGCCCGCGGCTCGAAATCTCGAACCTGCAACCTTGTGATTACAAGTCAGGTAGCCTAACCACTAGGCCACCGACGCCAACTAGTAGTAGTATTCTACTATACATACTAGCATCTGAATTCTCATAGTAATAGTATAAGCTAGTACTAAACAAAGTCATGAAGTCACAAAATCAGAAACTTTGAACATATTTTAGAGCTAATTCAGGGGGAGGGAGAGGGGGAAGAGGAACAGGGATGGTTTCACTACCAGGAGATGGAATAGCGAGATATCAACGTTATAACTCAGTAGAGGAGAGAAAGATACACAACTTACACTCTTACACTTACACTAATACCAATTAACAAAGTTGCTGTTCTTAAAAAACAAGTTTGTGTTTCTCTACTCTGCAGCTGAATAACTTTCAATCTTTGCATAGATCTAAACTTAATCAGTGAAATTAACAACACCAAATAAAAACCCATACCCCCCCCGAAAAAAAAAAAAATAATATATATAATGAAAATAAAAATAAACAGTAATACATAACGGCAACTTGCAAACCAGATGACCTCATTTTTATGTGATGAGCACAAGATTCATGACCAAAGAAACAAAAGATCAAAACAGACACGATAGACACGATTGTGGCCAAGGGGTCTTGCAGTCATACTTAGCCTAATTTGTCTGACCCACCAACTATTGCTGTCTATCACTTCAACTTTCAAAGCAGTGTCCATGAATGGTATTAAACATAACATGAGGACCCCCCCATCTTTTACAACTGTGGTAAAGAGTATAACTCCAAAGAACAACAGCAACTCTTTTTAAAAAAATACATGACTAGAATTAGAATCGGGCAAAGAAACAAAGAGGAATGACACAGACTAGGCAAAAATACCAAGATATTGTACCCAAAAAAAACCCACCCCTCATAAAACTCTACAGTAGTCTGCTGTTAACAGTAAATAACAGAGTAAGTTTAGTTTTTGTAAGGTTTTCCGGCGCTCGCAACTGCATAAGGTCATATGAGCGCCAAGGGGAGGATGTCATCAGAGAAGTCCTTGCAGGGAATCAGACTTACTCAGATCACCTCTCTAGCTTCAACAGCACAAAGTCTGCTTCGACTATCAAGGCACCCCGGAAATAGTGGGTCACAAGAGTGTGACAAACATACAAAAGAAGTAGAGGAAAAATGACAATAATAAGGATTAGGAAAGAAAAAGCAGCAGTTCCCTGTTGTAGATCAGGCACAGTTATGAGCGTGACATTGATGAATCGGCCCATTTTTACAATTCTACTGTGCATGAACGAGAAATGTCCCCCCTTTGGGAATGGTGTAAAGACACTTCAGTCAGTGGCACCGTCCGGGGGGTACCCATCTTTTACAACTGTGGTAAAGAGTATAACTCCAAAGAACAACAGCAAACTCTTCAAAAAAATAAACATGACTAGAATTAGAATCGGGCAAAGAAACAATGATCAACAGCATCCAGCAAGCTTCGAGGAATGACACACAGACTAGGCAAAAATACCACGATATTGTACCAACACCCCCCCTCCCCCTCATAAAAGTCAACAGTAGCCTGTTGTCAACAGAGTAAGTAAAAGAAAATTTAGAAGGAAGGAAAGATAAAAAGGTATGTCCAGAAAAGAACATTTACATTTTGAGACAGCTGGTTTCTAGGGTAATTTTAGTTGGGTTCTTAGCCATCACAAGCAAAAGATGTGAGTTCGATTACCCTGTAGGAAGGCTTTTTTTGTCAAATACCTTCATCTGTCTGCTGGGATGTTGTTTCCCACTCAGCCTGTGTTGGCACAGAAAAGCAGGGTTGAAGCAGCCTGCCTCCTAAAAGATCTAAATTGTGTCAACAGAGGCGTAAAATATTTACAATTACATTAGAGTGCTTTCTAAACAATCTAAATTGTTCCGGGATTTACAACAACAATATAAACAATTACTTACTTTGACAACAATTCCAGTTGGGATGTGTTTGAGCACAACACAATTTGCTGTCTGGTTGACTGCTTGACCACCTGGTCCGCTGCCCCGAACAAAATTTTCCTCCAAATCCTCTGGCCTCAGCTCGGGAAACTTGTAATCCTTCCGCCTGACACTGTAGTTACAACAGCTGAGTTGCACTAACACTGGCCATTTGTGAATCCAAATCTCTTTCAATACTCTGTCTCTGTTTGACCATGAAGAAAAGAAATGTCTACTTATGGACACAACTGCTGGTGTTGAAGATTCAGAATGAGTTCCTTTATCGTTCATCCTCCAAAATGTACAGGAAGGATTGTATACACAGCCTGAAGGGACATTTCGTCTTACTTTATAAAGACACACAGTTTTAGGCACTGCAAGATTTGTGGTGTAGTTCCTACACAACAAAGGTCGAAAAGCAACAGCTGTGAAATCCGCCATTTTGATAACCGGAATCGATACAAAACTCATCATAATACCAGTAGGCAGGGTTTGAAAATGAACAATTTTGAACAGTTTGGAAATTGTGTGGATGGGTAGTTCTAAGGAATTATGTTATAGTTCATTCTATAATAGCCAGTCATTCACAGAAAGCAGGATGAACTGGACAGCACGCTAGTAAACCATTGTGACTGTTCTGGCTAGGACGACAAGGAATGCAGGTGATTCTGTACTAGTCTTGATTTGATACCTGGAAAGAGAAAGAAAAGATCATAAAAGAGAAGAGCTTACAAAACATAGCATGATCATAATCTTTAAAAAAAAATTCTAAAAATCATTTTCTTCACAGTTTTATTAGATCAAGTCAAAAGCAAAGAGTCACAAGCATCAGAGGATTGAATAAATCAAACACTGCACATGACAGCACCACTTTACTTTACAAACAAAAAGAGTTTAAAGTAAGTTTATGGAAGCAAATAAACTAAATATCCCCTCAACTAAGGCGGATGGTGTTAGCACATCAGTCTTGTATTGTGCTGACTTTGAAGATGAATTTGCTGAAACTTTATCGATCTGTATTACTGTAGTCAAACATTGCTTATTGTAAGAGCATACACACCTTTCAACTGAAAAATCTTGAAATAGCCTTTACATTGTTGTTTATGTAATAATTTTTAAATTAAAAAGTAAATTTCCCAACATAAAAAAACAGCCCCACACCAGCCCTATATTCACATTTTTTGGTGGGGGAATTAACATGTTCAAAACAGACGTTTAGATGCATGGGTAAAATGACACTCAGGCTCTAATAAATCAGAGAATGAGACATTTCATGTTAGACTTTCTATACTATAATGTACAGAAATTATATAAAACGTACCTTCCATTCCAAAAATCCAAAGAGCGCCAGCTAGGTTGACATAGGCCTACAAATTGTCCACACTTCCCAGAGATCAAAATTCAAGAATAAAATAGGGAAAAAAGTCTTAAACTTATTTCATGAGCTTGCAAGTTATATTTATTTGGTGGCAATACTGTTTTTCAACAGAAAATTAGTTAGCAGCATAAAAAAGCCAAAGGACAGTAGCCAAAGTTCTCAAGGAAATGTAAATTGGACTCAGTATTCATACTAGCAAGAAGTGTTGTTATAAAATCTCCGGTGATTCTGGACCAAAAATTAAATTTGGACTACGACCACCAGTCAACAGCTGGTGAAAACAAAATCAACACACGAGGAGGACAAACAAATAAGCTGGCTTAGAGATTAAAACTGATACAGATAATATCAACATAATTATTGTCCTCACCCCGTGGAAAATTGCTTTTTTGAAATAGAAAAATTGCAAAAAATTGCAAGGTAAACTGCCTAAAAATTGCAAAAAATTGCAACCTTCCCTCCCAGGCGCATTAATACGGGCTTAACATTTTTAGTTTATAAAACATGACAATTTGAGTAACGGTAGCATAAAAGCAGAACAGCCTTTTAAAAAATCATGACAAACAATACAAATTTTATTAACAACATTTACTAGTAACAACACATGAGTACGTTAACAATAAAGTTATCGACCAAATATAATATAATACCGTGTGACCCAAAATAACAGAACCCTCGGTTTTCGTAATAACTTTTAAATGAAGGCATAAAATTTAACCAAATTTAGTTACCGGGTACTTGGTTCATGCAAAGATCTAGAAGTGTAGCATGAGTATGAGGTTTCGTTTATAAAAAAGAAAAAAAATTATGGGAGATTCGAACAAGCAAAATTAGCCCAAATCAATTCAGATCCTATTCTATTTTTCTCTTGATACTTTCAATACACCTGTAATCTGTATTTAGATCTATTTCAGATATTTTATTTTTTAAAACCAGTATGGTATTGTTTTAACTCCAAGTCAAATGGTAAAATACAGCAATTTTTTTTTCTCCAATTAATAGTAATAATAAGGTAGATCATTTCTTTAGTGACCACTCCCGTGTGAATGCAGCTTAAGGCGTTTTACATATATATTGAGTGTCTACGTACACGGCAAAAGGGCACGTAGTCTAAGTGTCGTCACGTACACGGTAACTGGACAGTTAAGAACTCCAAGTTCAGTTTTTGTCATCCAGTGTTGCCTTCAACCCCAGCGGTCTCCCGACTGTACCTTTAAAAAAAATCAATAATCCCCCCATTCCGGACCCCTATAGTTCGCAGCGCAAAGACTTTGAATGAACTTTGGTGACCCCAACCGGTGCTCACAGTGTGATGAGAAAGCACAGGTTCACTGACCGGTCACGATGGCGAGCCCGACAAGACGCCTGTACATGTATGACTTTCTTATTTTTTTTCAACAAGTGACAGCACAGGACAAATATTGATTTATTTTCATTCCGGTTACCGTGCACATAGACATTAAGTACTGAGACTAGGTGCCCGACTACCGTGTATGTAGACACATGCATCATGTACGAACAATATACACACACACGTACACCTTACACGCGCACACACATGCACACCACACACACACACACACCTACTTTCTTATCACACGTGCACGCTTAATCTTACACACATGAGATCTCTATGTCTCAGTTTGTGTTGTACCTGATGTATTCCGGCTTAAATTTCCGGTTAAAGCTTTCAGAGTACGCCCAGTAGACTAGAGCTGGGCCGAAACCATGATTTACGCAGGCCTATCGGCTTTGTACTCGCACCATTTCAAATTTAAAATTCCGTTAAAATTAAAGCGTTGATGTTATTTTGCCTAAAATTGCAAGAAATTGCGACAATTGCAAAAAATTGCGGCTTTATAGCGGAACTCGACGAAAAACGCGTCCGCAAGACCGCGATTTCCTGGGGGGCCAGATTGTCAAACCTGTTCTAACTGCTTGTCCAATAAAATCATTTGACAAATGACCATTAATTCCCAAGTTTCCCCTCTGGTTTTTCTATATAATTTAAATGACATGGCTCAAGATGCCCACTTGTCTAAGAGAGGCAAATTTGGACAGTAAAAAAAAAACTCCACAAAAATGACGACTTCAAGAATGCCCAGTTTGAGATTTGAACCTGGGCCATCAGCTCCGGAGTCCAGTTGAGTGTGCTATCAACTGAGATAATGCAGTGCCCCGTCTTAGACATTGTTGATTGTTGTATCTTTAAATTAAATAAATTTAGATTCTAAATCTGATGGACGAAGATGTCGATAATGACACAGGAGGGAATTTAAAGGACATGACCCAGAGGAAGTTCTGCGATGTCCAATGACTACCATGAATTATGATGAACAGCTTTATCATTCGTTCTCATCATGATAATTATGCAATAATTCACAGCAGTAATATTGATGTCCTGTTTTTTAGGAAAGACATTTTTATAAACGCACAATATTCCCATTTGTTGCATAAGTCCTATTGGAAGCTATCAGAGATGAACATTAAATTCGGAGGTCCCGCCTCTGTAATAACTTACACAACAGTATACTACATTGTTGCAAAGGTCATTAATGATAAACTCTGTCAGACCTGCGCCCATCGGCTCTAACTTCACCCTATACCTGGCTGCCATGGTGAGGCGTAGAGAGCAAGAGCTCCCAGTTACCGGTCGACCAGGAATTCTGCGTACGTGTTGGTTTGTGAATTCCCGGAGTATCAGGAATACGGTCTGATGGGATTATTTTTATTTTATTTTTAAAAGTAAATTTTTTTGGTAAGTGTTTTACGACGCTTGTAAATTCAGAAGGTCATATGAGCACACATAAACACACCAAACATTTTCATTTGGTAGGAAATTTTGAATTTTGCCCGGGTGGCGTCTGAAGCCTACTCTTGGTAAAAAAAAAAGGCAGGGGCTATTTGCAACACCGCGTTCTGAATAGCTCCTGTGCTATTTGAAAAGCAGCGTTCTGATTAGCTCCCATGCTATTTGAAACGCCAGTTCTAGTAGCCATCGTAATAATATTGTAGTTCTGACTGAATTGTGGAAGCTTTCTCAGTTTCTTGATAAACCTCCTAGGATTTGACTCCTTTTTTTAAAAATGACGTTGTCTTATTCCAATCAATATTGGGCAGATCTAGATCACACAATTGTCTGACATTTCTGACATTGTTTGCACAAAAGTAGTCTAGTTCATCTCTCATAATCATATTCATTTGAGTTTGAGTTTGAGCAAGTAAGTCAAAAGACGCTTGGATAACAATAACAAGACGATGCAATTCAGTAAGCACTATTTCCTATCCGCAGTGTTGTCATACAATACCTAAAAATATAATCTCTGCAGGCACTTTACATTTTGCCATCACACCATGACGTCGCCTGATCTAGGCTTTGGCGCTTTAATTAACAGGGGGCAGTGTCAACATTCTCTAACATTAGGCCTAGAGAATGTATACAAGCTGTCTACGTTCTCTAATATTCAGTGCCTCCAAGCGTGGCATCGAATCTCGGTCCCGGAACGTTTTTTTTTTTTCTTCTCCTGAGCCTAAAATAAATTTTAAAATTATTAGACTCACAGACCAAGGAAAGCTACTAATGAACTTTAACCAGGCCTAAATTGGTAAAAGGAAAAGTATAGGCTATACTAAGGCCTATTTTGTATAGAGCTCCTCTTGGGGATAAAACCAGAATGTGCATGCTTCATTACTACATAAAAAACTACTGCTCAACAAGTTATATGGGAAAAAATTATTGGTCAGTCGGGATGAGGAGAACAAAAAAAGCCAAAACCTTCCAGGACCGGGATTTGTTCCCACGCTCATAGAGTAATGGTTTGACTTCAAATGCAGACGCGCTGTCCATTCGGCCATTAGAACTTCCAACAACGAAAGGAAGATTAAGCTTGATATTTAACACACAGCGTTTTATTTAGCAATGGCGCTAATTGCAACACGGCGCTTTAATTAGCATTGGCGCTAATTGCAAAGCGGCGTTGCAAATGGGCACTTCCAACAAAAAAAAAAGGCTCGCGACCAACGCTACTGAGCGGGATGTGGGACCGGCTGCCGGCCAGACTATTCATTGTTTACACACTGACTTAACAATGGCAGGCCTCTCACTCTCTGCCTGCACATAATAGATTATGGTTCAAGGAACAGAAAGCGTTTAAAAACATAATGAGACACAAGCACGAGACAATAAATGCTCTTGCACAACGGTAGAAGGGTAGTAAATTATTCAGACCAAATGGGCGAGGGCGTTAAATGATGTTAACTAGTTTTAAAATCTTAGTGTCTTAGTAATCCAAGCTCTTTCCTTCACTTTCATTTTTTTTCTTTTATTCTTCTTGCCTCTTGTCCCCTTCTTCTTCTTGAACATTTGGAGTTTGAAGCCAGAGAACCAAATTAAATTCTCCGGGCCAGAAGCAATCCAAAAGAGCCAAATTTCTGGGATTTGGCTCCAATCTGACAACCCTGACTGTGACTAGATCTATGTCAATTCGGACATCAACACAATCCTGTTGAGAATCAGCCCCAGTACCCTCAGCCCTGATCTCTCTTGGGTCATTTCCGGTAAAACAAGGGAGGGGGTGAGAATAGCGAGACATAGGACAGATTGTAGATCTATATTATAAGTAGTAGCTAATTCCATTTAGAATCATCAATGATTCCTTGGGCTTTAGTTAGATCTACACTAGATATACTAGCCTACTGTAGGCTTCTCCATGCCATTCATCATAAATATAAAATACTAGAATCTAGATCTAGGTCTATGAGTCATAGATCTTAATCTAGACTCTAACCAAGGAGATTAAAAGTAATGGAGGATGCTCTGTGGGCGGCACCGTTCGCCTGATAGGAGCCCTCTCTCGCGACGGAACTGTGGGCTACCTGCGCTGCATGCCCGACTCACGCACTGAAATCTAGATAAGAAAGAAGGTTTTGTTCCGAGGTCCTTGAGATTAGGCCTTGAAATGCCTTGCACCTGTTGTATTTAAGTGTAAGAACCGATATGCTGCTGCAGTGGACCGAAGTTTTCACAGTTAAGTTGTTTTCCTTTTCACAAATTTGAATGAAGGTGTTTTTATGCCCCCAGCAACACAATTTAGATCATTAATATTCATAAGAGGCTGGCTCCTGCGCTACCTGCCAAGGCCAACCCAGGCTGAAAGGGATACATCACCCCAGCAGAAAGACCGAGATACTCAATTCTTTTAAAATATTCTTATTCATAAATATATATAATTATTATGTGTATATATATAATTATTATGTGTGTGTATGTATATTATATATACATATTATACACTTAAATTAAAGATATTGCTTTCCTTTGTGAGTGCAAATTAGATGCAACTGTTGTCTAAATGTAGATATCTTAAAGGCTCCATTAGAATATGAAATCAATACTCAACAACAATAATGACGAATATTTTCTATGTTAAAGAAACACCAAACCATATCAGATGAGAGATGAGGGGAGAGGGTAGGGTGGGGTGGATAAGAGTTTGAGTCTTGTTAGATAGAACTATACTCGGTTTAATTCTATTGTTGTAGTCTTCACCTAAGATCCCACAATCAATAATTCCGGTTCACTTAAGATTCTGCTTTTAAAAAATAAACCAAACAAAGCAACAACAAATTTTACTACACAAGAGTCATCACTAAGATTAAATTACCCCCCTCTCGAGTGTAATAAGGGACTAAAAACGCTGCTCTCCACATCATACTTTACTGAACAAAAAAAAACAACCTTCAAAAGTCATCCACGCTCATGCATGATGCAATTACACCTCCAAAGGTGTTGTTATCTCTTTTTTTTTTTTTATATTTGAAATCATTCTGCGCTCCACTTTGTGAAAACCAGGAAACAAAATTATTGTAATAAATAATATTATTATTTATAGACCAAGACATACTGTTAGCAATCAGATAAAGCTGGCATCGACCCTCTTTAGCGTTCGCTATTATTACTTACACATACAGTTAGTTATGGCACACGCCTAGAATCATGCAATCATATCTTAAATTCAGTTCAAAAGTATATTTTTATCCATTTCTTATAATTAAATATTTCAGCATTTTGAAAGATTATCTTTATAATTTGGTTTGGTATGTTTGATAATTTTATGTTACTCGAACAAGTTTTCTTCTTATTTTACACTTCTTTTTGATTTTTAAACAAGATTATAACATAAAACTCTTAAAGAATTGAACAGTCCGTATCACACACAGAATTTTGTATTTTTTTTCTCCCTGTCATTATCCGTCAGCCGGTCAGTTGATCACAATCTCTCTCTCTCTTTCTGTCTGTCTGTCTCTCTCTCACTCTCTCTCTCTCTTTTATTTAATTTTTCCCATTCTCCTTCGTCCCTTCCCAAGGCCCCTCTTCCTTGCGTGCATTCCCCCACCCTGCCCACCCCCACAATGTGGCCCAGCCCGATAAGATTCTATAAAAAGAAACGCCACAGTTTGTGATATAGCCCACAGTCGGCGGCCATATTTGATCCCCACTGCGGCGTGCTGCTCGTGGCGCCCCGAAGAGAGAGAGGAGGCTCCATTACTATTAGTTCTAAACTCCTTGACTCTAACTCTAGTATATAAAAATGGGGAGGACCAGCTATGAGACAGAGTACTGAGTCGTCTGAGTAGAATAGAGGGCTAGGGGTAGGGGTAGATTTCTAGGGTTAGGGCGGGATAGGGTATGTGTTTTGGTTAGATCTTAATTAGATCTAGAGTCTAGATCTAGATGTCTCTTTTTTTTTATTGTATTTGTTGGGGAGGTCACTCGTTACGGAAGTCATTCCAAAAATGATTTTGATCATGACCATGTCATTGACTTTGACTCTTGTCCATTGAAAGATTTCAATTGAGAATCCGCTGCCATTTCCATCACCACAATTACAATATACTCACGATTTACCCACTTGCAATCAGATTTAACTGAATCGAACGTTGAGTCGAAACGTCGATATTGATTTGCGTCACAGCTACTTCGCTTCGCCCTAGGCTAGATCTTGCTTATTCTGTGCTCTCTACAGTGGCTCTACGCTCTTCTTTGAACTAGCCTAAGCTGTTTCAGAACGAAAGTGACATGCGATTGTGAAATTAGAGTGGTTCCCCTTAGAAATCTACAATTTATTTCAGAGTTATGTCCCTCTGTTTCCAATGTTTTGGGTTTGGGTCGTAGGGTAAGTTTAGCTGAGTGGAGGCCGGTTTTGGCTTCAGATTTAGATCTAGAGGAGTTCGTTTCTGAAATCAGAACTAGATCTACAAGTCACATAACATTTTTTTATCCTAGTACCCTTCCATGACCAGTGCTCATTTTTATTTCTTCAGGAATGGACAATGCATGATAGAAGTTCAAAGATTACACTGCGGTGCTTCGTAACGTCGTAACCATGACCATCATGTCCATGTCAAAAAAGTGGAAAGTCTCATCATCGTTGTCCCCGTTTGCCTTGCGTTCGGCCGCTTATTCAAATTGGTCTCATCATCCTCCTGGAAATGGAAAACAATTCTCTTTTTCTTATGCAGAGGGGCAGATATATTTATTGAGACGCTAGTTTACGTCCATGCATCAGAGAATGACATCCTGCAACTGCAAGTTACCATCATGAGGGTAATGCAATAGAATCTAGATTCTAGATCTCTAGATATCTAGTCAAAATCTAAATCTAGATCTAGATCTAGATATCTAGATTCTAGAATCAAGGGCGCTTTTTCGGTAGTTCCCACCCCGCAATTGTTTTTCGCCGGTTTTGGCCTCAAGAGTAGGCCCTACTGTAGGGGGGGGTTTTCAGGAGGGGGGGGGGGGGGGGGGGGGGAGCAAGCCCCTGACCTAATAAAAATATAGGGGGGGTTCAAGGGGGCCTCCCTGAATTTTACCATAATTTGATGTTTTGCAGTTGTTAGGTTTGATATGATATCGTAGCTCGTCGCGCATCGAACGTGTAGATCTCGATGTAGATCTAGATCTAGATTCTAGGTGAGGCTCAAATAAGGGGGGTGGGAACTACCGAAAAGGCACAGAAAAAGATATTAGATCTAGGTCTAGTTTTCAATACAGTGGAGTCCACTTACAACGAGTCCTGAAATTTAACGAAAAGTCTGTTATAAAGACACTATTGGAAAACCCCGTTTTTTTCTCTTCTTTGTCTTTGTAAATACAATAGATATATGTACTGCTATATAGCGCAATCAGACAAACATGATGTGAGTCGGTTATAGCGGAATATTGCTGCTGCTGTGCTCAGCACATAGGCCAGTTATTGATAAAACCTCGCCAGTTGAGAAATTTGTTGGTGATCTAGTGAAACCTTACACATCAACTCCTTGAGCGAAACAAAGAATGGGAGAGCCCACGTGTACCAACAATGAAGGCTGAAGTGAATGAGTGGGGAGGGTGTGGTATGCGCAGACAAACTGAACGCATCGCGTCTAGATTATCTAGGCCTACCACTACCATGCCTCTCACGTTTCCGATGCGGAGACGGAGAGGTCACAGTGCTGTGATGGATGGAGTGAATGTGTGACGCATGCAAGCAGACGGAACGCACCAGGGGTGTGGCGTGGTGGGGAACAACACAGCGGGCGAGTTAACCTAGCTAGAGCCCTTAAACCTTCAACATTGCAAGCGATAGATAGAAACCAGATTCGATTTTTGATCAAGCAAGACCAAGAGGTCGTGTTGAACAATATCATCATTAGGGGAGATAACAAAAAGAAATAAACAGGACACCATACTATAGGCCTACTGTATTATTTCCTTTGAATTTATTACTGGATCCCTTATAATGAGAATCCTGGTATACATAAAACGCACATTTCCCACCGGCCCCCTCCCTTTCGTTATAACAGGGTTCCACTGTAATAGATCTAGAGAATCTAATTGTGCCAATTTAAATTGCTTTTCACTAATTTCAGTTTCACCACTTTTAAAGTTTTCTTTAATTTTTAGTTTTACCCCTCAAATTTTTTTTGTTAGATTAGATGCCTATCTGGCCTTTTCTAAGCCAGGATAATAAGGTTTTAGCCCCAACGATTAATCTACGACATGGAGTATGGGTTTTGGTTACACACGAGCACATTTTAAAAGTCGGATAGATCTATATCCTGCCTTTAAAAAAACCCAGTACTTTATACTATGCGTGCCGATGCCGATACAATATTTTACATGTAGCAAGTGAGATGGATGGTGAGCAGTGAGAGAGAGAGAGGGGGGGGGGGAAATCGGGGGGGGGGGGGGGGCGTTTGGTTCATTATTCCTGTTTTAGCCCCAGTTAATAATGCTTAAGAAGGAATAGTACGAAGGCGAAGACAGTGAGTGGATGCATACAAAACATACCAAACTATCAAATTTAGTGACAGTCTTAGAAATTGATGCATCTTGTTTGAACAAATATGAATTACCAAAAAGGACAGCCACATGGACAGAAAGTCTGGATTTTCGGTATAGTTGAGTGTAGATCAAATCGATCTGTGTTTTCCTGTAGAAAATAGTGACGAAAAAACTTTAATTCCCATCAAAAGTTAGTTGCCCCTGGATAGACCATCTTCTCTGACAGTTTAGAATCTTATTCTTCTTTAAAGCCAAAGGAGATCAGCTCTTTCCTGTTTTGCATAAAAAAGGGGTCCTCTCATCAGCTGTATTAGAATTGCTGTACAGGGGAGACTGTCGTAGTCCATGAAAATAGATATATATCGTGGGTAATAATAATAATAATAGATAGCATTTGTATAGCGCATATCCCCGCTCAGCAGCAGGCTCTATGCGCTTTACACTATATTATTACCCCAGCAGACCATAGAACACTCCGAAACATTCTCAGCTTCCCGGGAAGCATACAGCGAAATGTCATTTTTAATAGGTTCACTGCACCTCCACATCCGACTTCGAGAGCCATTTATGCAAAGTGCTGTGGAGGAATTTGAGCGTCAAGGAAAAGTTATTTGAAAGTTTTTTTCTGCACCTCAAGCCCATTTTTCCCTTGACTGGCCCCCTGTGTATGAATGCCCAGAGACCAGTTTTCAAAACGTGGGTGTTTCAGGAGGAGTGCGCCAACATTCCACTGGCTCAGGGGGCTGCTACTCCTCATGCCCCACCCGTAGGCTGCAGTAGGCTAACGTTATTTTCTTGTATTAAAAAAAATAGTTAAGAACACATTCTATCTTTATATAAATCTAGATTTTCTAGAATATTTAAAAAATCTATACTGTGATGGCTTTAAATTTTCTGACCTATAATTTAATAAACTTAGCCAACTAGAATCAGGGTATTATTTTTACCTTCGTTCCTATCTAATGCTCAGGGAACAACTTTGTTTCTTTTTCATTTTTATCAGTTTTACGCCAATTTTTAAAACTTTATATAAATATATTTGATATTTTATTCGAACTATATAGACCATAGAACAATAGGCCTGATTGTGTTGTAATGACATGCGTGTTTTGAAAAATCTGGGTAGTTGCAGGGCTCTATCTCCCTCCCCCTCATCATATTCACATTGTATTTTCAATGTGTGTATATGAACGGAGGGGTTTTCAAGTCAAGTGTACTCAAATATGAATTTGATGTTATCAGTTACTTTTTTTTTGGTTGTTTCTTTAATGTGTTTTTGTTGAAGAGACTAATAGTTTTCTATTGTTCTCTAAAGTTTCAAGTTATTCAGGAGTCAGTTTAGAAAGTGTTATACTTTTATGAGTTACATAGAACCACTTTTCTATCCAATATAACTTTATTTAATAATTTATATTTGGTTAGTCATTATTTCTCATTTACTTACTTACTCTCTCCCTATACCGTTAAGTACATAGGCGGAGAGCAGTCGTTGCCTCGCTTGCCTGTCCCTGGCCACGTCCTCCAATTTTTCATTTAGAGTCAAAGAATAACATTCTAGCCTACTATCACAGAGAGCTGTGAATATTTTTCTGCTTGGAGAATTAGAATTTCTCATTTTAATAGTTTTGTTTAGTTAGTGAGTTATGAATTATTAATACTTAAAAGTAGGAAATACAATCATGGCTCAGTTTCAAGAGAAGTTCCCAAAACTGAAAGTTGATCTGGTGTTCTAATTTCATTATATCATCTTGTTCAAAATTTTAAGATGTTTTTTAAAAAAAATGTCTTCCTTCTTATTTCAGAGTTTCTTTAGTATGATGGCCTCCTCATCAGGCCTCGGCAAACGTCCTTCAGCCTCTAAAGATGTTGATGCTGGAGCTAGCAGCAGTCAAAAGAGAAGCCGGTTTGCTGACGCAGTTTTAGCTCATGGTGAGAAGGAGCAAGGTGCAAAAGAATACACAAGTGATCCTTTATTCTGGGGACCGTACCTGGCTGAAAGGCAGTGGGGTACCGTCCGGGAGGATTACTCCCTTGGTGGAAACTGGTGAGTCCGCTTACACAGCAACAGTTTGTCGGGTTGTTTTTTTTTGCTTTGAGATAGGGGTAGGTTGCAAATTGGATGAATATATTTTCTTACTTCACCAATTACTTCCCTTGAATGAATATCTAATTTGAAAAATCTGTAACTTTTGTTCTTACTTTCTCCATATATAGTTCAATCCGAGTGCCCATTTGGCTGTCATGGAAACAGTATGCTATTTGCTTTTTGCTTTGTTATTAGTCCTTTGAATTTACCATGCATCTTGGGATACCTTGATTGAGTCTCCCATAAAAATGAATGAAAGAGACATATTTCCCCTGTGTTGAGTAGTGTCGTACCTAACCCGTGATCATGAGATTAGGGGTTCAGGGGTTCGAGCCTCAGCTCAGTCCGATGCTCTGTCCCTCGGAAAGGCACTTTACAGGAATTTCCCATTTGGCTTGGTCCTTTCGGAGATGGACGTTAAACTCTGAGGTCCCGCTTCTTAAATAACCCAATAGTGTTGATAGGGGCTGAGTAAACTGACCAGTGCATTATGTCACACGAGATACGTGTTTAGAAGAAAGGACAACCTGGGCTTTATTATAAAGGTATGTCATGTTGGGCATCCCCTTTTTTTTCTTCAGCATTTCACTCAAACAAAAATAGTACATAAAAAGTCGAATGAGTGGCCTCTGTTTAGTCCTATTGTCCTGTTGATACATGGCCGTGTTACCGGAAATGGTCAATGTTAGCAGCTTAGTTTTGTGTCTTTGTGTTATATTGTTCAGTTTATAGGTGCACATACATTTTCTGAGAGAGTGAAGGGATGCTGGCTGCTTGATAAGGCTTCTTGTTAATTTTTGGTTGTGTAAACATTGAAACAGAAAAGTGACAAAAACTTGAAAGATGGTGAGAGTCTAAATCTGGATACGTCACTTAATAGTCATTACGTGTATTATGTCTTGTATGTATTCATCACTGAAACTGTCCTTTTTCACTGAAAATGTTTTAAAATGACCTTATGCAGTTATGAGCGCCGAAAACACTTACAAAAAAAAATTGTCCTTTTTCAATGCTATAGTCTTTTTTTTTCAGCTGGGATTACTTGAGCCATGCCGAGTCTGCAAAACAAGCCTACCACTGGGGGGAAGATGGACTCTTGGGAATCTCCGACAAGTTTGGGCTCCTGTGTGCATCTGTTGCATTGTGGAACCACAAGGACCCCATTCTGAAGGAGAGACTATTCGGTCTGACTGGGAATGAAGTGAGTCCAAGGAAACTTTCCTCTGGGGAGTGTGTTATGTTGAGGGGTTGTTTTTTTTTCCATCTTGAACAGTCATGGGTTCCCCATTTTCGTTTGAGATGCCAATTGTCTTTAGTGAGATTTTTTTTTAATGTGCGCAACAGTGTTAAGTATGACCGAACGTTACTGAGAGCTTCCTTTCTCTAACATAGAGTCAAAGAGACAGATAAAGAGTAAACAATGGTTGTTGCTACAAATAAAAGAGGATGTATTTGTCGACATTAGTAACAATAATGAAGGGCATGTAAAGATTTGGTTAGCCCTACTTTGCAGGGCTGAAACAGCCCACCTCATAAATGACCTAAATTATGTTGAAGGGAATGTACAACACAATTACAATTAATATTTTTTTCCTTCCCCTCGTCCAGGGGAACCACGGGGAAGATGTGAAAGAGCTGTACTATTACTTAGACAACACTCCGAAGCACACGTACATGAAGGCCTGCTACAGGTACCCACAGACAGAGTTCCCGTACGGCCCTCTCCTACACCACGGACGTAGTCCCAGGGAAAGTGAGCTGGAGATTCTGGACACAGGTTAGTCTACCCAACAGGGCAGTATGCTAGGAGGCAGAAGGAAAGGCAAACAGAAGAACAGATGAGAAGACAAGAAGCCCTTTGAAAGGCTGAAAATAGAGAAGGATGGAAAGAAATGGTTGCCCGATCATCCTTGGTGCCCCAACAGTCATCTAAGACTAAGGGATAATTAAGTAAGAGTATGGCCATCATGGCAGAGCTCTGAAAAAGGTGTAGTAAATACTTTACACCCACATCGACTCATTTGCGATCATTATGGAGATGGGCTGATTAGACTTTGCCTGTTTCAAGGCCAATCCAGGCTGTGTAAGGTTATTCCTCTCAGGACTGAGTTACACAACATAATGTCCTCTCCATGTAGGAATTAATAATTAATACTAATGGTAATGCCATGCTTTACAGTATTCTCTCTCTGCACTTTACAACTGCTTTACAACTGTTACTATCCCAGTTATCCTTAGAACATTCGCATCTTCGTTGGAAGTACAGGATGATCCCCCCCAAAAACCTGTACAACTTCTTTTGGTATTATTTTCCTTCACACTGAAGTTTTGCGTTTCAAATTTGCACACAACATTTAGAAGATATTTTTAGATAAATCTGCAGAATAGATTTGCCCTGCATAGCATGTAAAAAAGCAACCCATTTTCAGATACAGGGTGATCCAAAAAAAACTTTACAACTTGTTTCGTAAATATCTTTCTCCATACTGAAGTTTTGCGTTTCAGATTTGAACGTAACGTTTGGAAGCCAAAAGGAATTTGTCTGATACGTATTTTAGATAAATACATTGAATGGTTTTACTCTATATAGCTCATTAAAAAAACAACCCATTTTCAACCTTGTCGCCATTTTCGTAGCATGACGCACCAGTTCGCATTAGGCCTACCACTAAAAGTTGCACCAAATGCACCTTACTGCAAGCTACAGCAGTCCAAGAAGTCAACAGAAGTCTGCAGATATTATTTTTCCCAAATTTTGTTTGCCTGCTGAGATCATGGCTACGTTTAGTAAAGAGCAGAGAGCTTTTTGTGTTGAACATTACCTCTCCACAAACTCACCATCCCTGACATTTTGTAAGTTCTGCGCACGCCATGGAGAGAATGCTTAGTTGCCCTCAAGACCTTTGGCGTCATGAGTAGAGAAGTTCAGTCAGTTTGGATCTATAGCAAATCAAAACTAAAAAGTTCTTTAAAAAATGACCACTTTAGGTCGAACACGCACCATGCGCAGCCCTTTAAAGATTTCAGAAGCCGAGTCCCATGAGACGTCTGTCCGTAGATGATCTGCAGCTAGGACTTTTCTACACATCAACAGTCTGCATTCTCATGGCATATCTTAACCTACGACTATACCATGTTCATCTTCGCTAGGCCGACATGACATGGATCAGAGCATGGCAATGTGTTCTTGATTCCTCGATTGTCTTGTAAAGAGGGATAATTTCCTCGATGACATTTGGTTTAGTGCGAAGCCCATTTTCACCCTGCGGTATATGTTAACTTAAAAAATGCTGTCTATTAGGCACCCCCACTCTTGTCTCTAGAAGCTATTTTTTAGTGAACATGTACAGTGTATGTTGTTTTAAAAGCTCATGGTTTAGCAGGTCTCATGTTAGGGCGCCACTGAACATTTCGAACGACGCGTTAAAAATGTGTCGAGTCCGAAGGAGGGAATGTGGAGCACTGCTTCTAGGAATTTCAGAATGAAATCATTAGGTTTTTAAAACTCTGTAAAGGAAATTAAATATTGTTTAAATGTCAAAGAGAAAATAAAGAAAAAGGTCAACTAATCTTTTCACGACTTCCTTTACATGATTTTTAAACATTGGTGAACTTTGCGTTTTGGGTGCTTTTTTCTTTTAGCCATTTCCATTTTTAAATCATGTTTCTTCTTCGTGGATTTTATATTAAACAAATTCTTTTTGAATGAATTATGTCTGTTCCAAATTACAGCATTCTAGAACAATTTTTTCATGAGATATTCAGAAAAAAAGTTGTTAAGTTTTTTTTAGGATCACCCTGTATGTCCCCCTTTTTGTAGCATGACGCACTAGTTCGCATTAGGCCTACCACTAAAAATCCCTACGATTGTGCCATATTGCAAACTACAGTGGTGTAACAGGCCAACAGAAGTTTGCAGATAGTTTTCTCAAGTTTCCTTTGCCTGCAGAGATTGTGGTTAAGATTAGTAGAGAGCAGAGAGCTTTTTGTATTGAACATTTCCTCGCCACCAACTCATTTCATAAGTTTCACTCAAGGAACGGAAATAATGTTAAAGTGCCCTTAAGGCCTTCTTTGATGTCAAGGCTGAAAATGGTCCATCAGTTAGGACCAGTAGAGAATGGAAACTAAAAATTCCTAGAGAAACAACCACTTCAGGTCAAACACACCATTCGCTCACCTTTAAACGTCATCGGGGTGCAGAATTCAGTAGATGAGCCCCATGATATGTCTGTCAGTAGACGATGTCTGGAGCAATGACTTTCCTACTTCTCAGCGGTCGGCGTTCTCAAGGCAAATCTTCATCTACGACTGTACCATTTTCCCGTTCGCGAAGCTATTAGAGGATAGCAATGTGTTCATGATTCCTCGATCGTCTTGAAAAGTGTGAACATTTCCTCTTTGACATTTGGTTCCTTGGCATAGCCCATACTCCTTTCAGGTTATATCAACTCCACAAATGCTATTTCGGCAACCTCACCCCCCCGCCCCCTCCCCTATTGTCTCTAGAAACAGCTCCATACTGTAAGGTGTACAGTGTAATATGTGGCTTTGACTACTCATGGTTGAGTGGATCTTTGTGTTTGGCCTCCACTGAACATTAACATTAAAATGTGTCGAGTCCAAAGGAGGACATATAGATCATTTGTTCTCTGAATTTCAAAATTAAACAAATATTTTTTTAATTCTGTGAAAGAAAAGAAATATTGTTCAAGAATTACAGGGATAGAATAATTAAATTTTGTAAATAAAAGGAAAGAAAAAAACAAACAAACCAAGCGTTCCATGACTTTGTTTATAAGATCTTTTAACACTTTTCCTAGCGCGGCTCGTGGACGTGGCCTCACTGAACCGAGAGCCGCAAAATGCATCTCGGGTAGCTCGCTGTCTATTCCAATCCAGTAATGAAAAGACACGAAATTCTCGGCCGATCCAAGTTTTCAAGATAATAGAATAGACTTCCTGTTAGCAGATACGAAAGAAAATATAGCACTGAGAGACGATTTTTAGTCATTTCAGCGCTTTTTTTGTCCTCTTCGAAACGTAAAAACAAAAAAAAAAGCCCTCCCCTGACATCAGTATATGTTTCATATTTTCACTTTTATGTTAGGCACACATCCATAACTTTCAGCATTTTTTTGCATTACTTGAGGCAACGTACCTGGGAAGTGTGAATGATGCTGTTGTACTTTTTTTAGAGATATGACCTTTCAAAGCTGGAAAATTGTTGATTTTATGTGACACCTCCGATATTGCACAATTACTTTTAGAAACCCCAAACTAATATAATTGGAATAAATCTTCAATATTGTATCACCATCTGATAGATTATATTTTAACCTTCGGTTTGATGGGCCATATGATATAGTTGGATGTTTCAACATTTTTCTTTTGTGGGGTAGGGGCATAAAAAAAAGAGTTAAACTGATACATTTTACATTAATAGGTGGTTTTTATAAAAGCCATTTCCGTTCTCCAAAATAAGTTTCTTCTTTATGAATTTTATGTCAAACAAATTCCTTTTGAATGAATATTATCTGTTCCAAATTACAACTTTCTAGTACAAATTCTGTACAATAAATTCAGAAAAAAGTTATACAGTTTTTTTGGGGAGATCACCCTGTATATAATGCAAGCAGCCAATTAAGTTCTCAAATACTAACAAACTGACAAGATCTATTACTGTCTATCGCCTTGTGCCCATTCCCAGTAATGTTGGCTTTTCTTTCTTTCTTTGTTTGTTTGTTTCTTCTTTTGAATTCCATTTTCCCATTAATTCCCGGTTCTTTTTTGTTTTATATACAGGTGTATTTGATGCCCACTCCTACTGGGATGTCAACATCGAATACGCAAAGCCAGCCACTCACAGTGTGATCTGTCGTATCAACATCTTCAATCACTCCGCAGAATCAGCCAAACTAGACATAATCCCACAGTTCTATTTCAGGTGAGTGCTTGGATGCACAGTTATAACAGATATAATGATTCTCAGTTATAATAGGCGTAATATCATATAATATGTAAAAGCATGTTCTTTTCTGACTTTAGAGTTTCGGCTTCTGCACACATTATTTTTTGAAGAAGAAAATGCTGCCATTTTGACCGACCCATTTGATCAGTTTGTCCAAAATCGAACATGCTTTTTTTTTTCTTTCTTTTTTTTTTGGTAACAGACCCAAATGTGCTAATGCAGTTGTGAGCGCCATAAAACATTTTCCCCCAAAAAGTCGCAAAACTATTACTTTTTTGTTTTCTGATAGACCCAAATAATTTTTTTTGTTATCTTTAAAAGACCCAAACTAGGGGAGGGGGGGGGGAGTTGTTTCTTATAGATTCAAAATATTGTTTTTGTTTCCAATAAACCCCAATTTATTTTGCCACTTTATGATTTAATTTTGTTTTGTTTTGGGTTTTTTTGTTCTAGAAACACATGGAGCTGGCCCAGGACAGGTCATAATCACCCGGCACCGGTGTTCCAGGCAGTGGGAGATGACTCGGTGGATGCTGTGTATGACATGGGTTGGTCATGTGTGTGTGTGGGTGTGTGTGTGCGTGTGTGTGTGCGCGTGCCTGTGACCCAGGCAGTGGGAGATGACTCCATGGATGTTGTGTATGACATGGGTTGGTCATGTGTGTGTGTGTGTGTTTGTTTGTGCATGTGTGTGTGTGTGTGTGCGCGCATGTGTGTGCGCGTGTGTGTGTGACCCAACACCAGTGTTCCAGGCAGTGGGAGATGACTCTGTGGACCTTGTGTATGACATGGGTTGGTCATGTGTGTGTGGGTGTTTGAGAGAGAGAGAGTGAGAGAGAGAGAGAGAGAGAGGTGATTTGAGTGGAGGAGTGTGTGTATGATATGGGTTGGTGATATGTGTATTGGAGTGTATGTGTATTTGTATGTTGTGAGTGGGAGAGAGAGTGACAAAAAGATATTCAACTTTTAAAAATAATATGAATAATATCCATTGCACAAAGTATGTGTGATGGACAATTATTTCTTTCTTTGGCGGGCACAGGAATCTTCCGGATCAATTTCCACCACTCCAAGAACGTGACCTTCAAGTCTCTCCTGTTCACTGACAACAACTCTGTCCACAATGAGTTTGCCAGTTCTCAGCGAGGGACGGAGGAGCCTCAGGGAGGAGATGTGACGACAGACAGAAAGAAAAGCAAAACCGAGACTCTTGGGAAGAAAGATGCATTTCATAAGTTTATCATTAAAGGTGACAATGTCTGGTGCCCTAGTGCATGAATGCTGAATGTATTTTTCTGCCATAGTAGGCTTCTTGTATGTCTTGTAAAGGTCTCAGAGCGAATTGTGAAAATGTACTATATAAATATCATGTATGAGAAAAACAAAGTTAAAAAAAACCCAACTCACTGTGTATTGTGGCTTATAACTCAAGCGATTTTTAAAAATCAAGACCATTTCCCCCACATTATACATGCGACTTACAGCCAGAATCGGGAAATAGGAAGTAATGCGGAATATGATTTTCCATGGATGGGACACCAATATTCTGAACACTTGACCACTGTTGGAAATCATGCAGACCAGTTGGAAGGGGCAAAGAGAAGGTTACATTCCAGCTTAAAGCCGACTATGAATAATAACATTTTCATTGGTGCAAATCGGAAGCTAATTGGTGACAATTAATGCTAGAAATAGGCGAAACTCGCAGAGACTTATGTGGGAAACGGATTATCATGCAGCCACCAAGAGAGTGTCGTGTGTAGTGTATGGAATACCTCTGGCAGCCAACTGGCTGGCAGTATAATGGGGTGAATTTACATTGGTTTAATAGGGACAGTATAACTCAGACTGTTGGCGGATTGCGCTGTAAAGGCACAAATACTATGTTCATATAGGTATTCCTTTTCATATACTAGCAAAACCTAGTGTATAATTGTGGAGAGGGTGGGGGGAGATGCGGTATAACGAGTTTTGACTGTACTATTATATAGACTGGTGACTGTGGTGTAATGGTAAGGCAAAAGCACAGTGCACACAGAAGACTTGAGTTTGATTCCCAGGAGGGGAAGTTTTTTAAATATAATATGTATTCTGTTTTTCTGCTGGGATGCTCTATGGCTCTCAGTCCGGGTTGGCCCTGAAAGGCAGGGTTGTGGCATCCCTTCAAGAAATGATCTGATTTGTGTTGATTGAGACTGATACAGTTATGATGATTAGTCATATTATGCCCTCAATCTTTGAGTTAAATAACATCAGTTGCTGAGTTCTACCTTCAGTCATTGAGTTATATAGCATCAATCACTGAATTATATTTTCAATCATGGAGTTATATTCCATCAATCACTGAATTGTACCTTCAATCACCAAGTTATATACCCTTAATCATGTAGTTATGCCATCAATAAATGAATACATTTTTTCCCTTTTTATCCCCCAGGAGACAAAAGCGGGCTGAGAGCAGACGGCACAGGTACCAAGTTCTGTGCCTGGATGTCTGTGGAGATGGAAGGCAACACGCAGACCTCCGTGTACTGGCAGATCTTCCCAGCCGACCATGTGGTGGAGAAGGTAATTTCCAAACTGGACAACATCATCAAGTCACAGAAGTCGAAAGCGGAAGATTTTTACGCCAAAGTGAGTCATGGCAGTGTGAGCGATGTGTCCTTTATGGCGTGAGTAGATCAATTTCTTTTGTGTTTCTTGTCCGGAATTTTTTATTTTCAGTTTTTATGTATTAGATATTGGAGTTTTTTTTCTAATAAATAGCAGGAAGCTTGAGCACAAATGGTAAGTCGTTTTTCTTCATTCCCCTCTCTTCTTTCTGTCTGACTCTTTTACATTTTACAGGCACTTAATGACTATTATTGTGTCATTATACTTCTCTTTGCTCTGACAATCTATTTATAAATATTGGTTTTTAATGTAGGATTCTTGATCTTGGTTCAGGTGATACCAAAAATGGCAAAGGCGGAGGAAAAGAACATTTGTCGACAGGCCATCGCGGGACTTCTGTGGTCCAAGCAGTACTATATGTACAACATGGACATGAAGAACAAAGGTCAGATCATTTGTGTTCTGGGTGTGGTTTGCTCCTTCTTCTTTCCTATAGAGCATCTTTTTTCCTGATCTCTCTTTCTTTCTTGTGTTTGTTACTCTTTTGCAACACCTCTAATCTTTGGCACTTACATGGCCTTATTGATTTTTTAAAATTTTAGTAAAAGTTGGGGGGGCTGTCATGGCCTAGAGGTAAACTCACTTGAGATGTTTCACGCAGCTTTTGCCAGTACCAATTTTTTCCCAATAGGCGGTTCATGCACCAACTGCGAGCACAAGTTTCGCGTTTTCTCCTTGGTAAAGTATGTGTGAAAACACTGCTTGAACCTTCTCTTACCAAGCAGCTGACCATTGTTTTGTTTCGTGCAAAGTTAAACCGGAATTGGCAGGAACCCCTGGAAGGAAAGTTAGTTACACTGAGGCCCTACTTGAGTTTCTCTGGCATGTCTTTTCTCACAAAATTTCGTCAGTTTGATGGCAGTACATTTAGTTTTAGCAAGAGTTTTACGGCACTTGCAACACAATAAAATCAAATAAGCGCTGAAGATTAGGTGTTACAAGAGAGTAACAAACACAAAAAAAGAAGTAGGAGGGATCAGGACGAGAGTTGTTTGATAGGAAAGAAGGAGCAAACCACACCAGGGCACCCGTCAACCACCCACTTGGCAGCACAAAAAAGCAAACATTTTTCAAGTGACAGTTCAGAAAATTCTGATTATGATATTTCATACCATGGGAATCCTGATTTCAATGTAAATGAGCACCAAAGCGCTCATTCTGATAGAGAGTGTTCTAGATCTAGACTAGGGTTTCAAATGCAAAATTCTCTTTGTCTGGAGCCCTGTTTTTTTTTACACTGAAGTGGATTAGACTGCTAATACATATAAGGATGACCATATTGATTACCAGCCTATTCATGAGTTTGGACTTTTTATTCATTTTGAAACACAATACACAATAAAAGACACACATAAGGTTAATTTTTGGGGGAGTTTGTTGGGTTTTTTTTACACAAGATATTATGTCAAAAAAATTTTAGCTTGCATATTTTCAAAAAATCATTTTTTTAAAACTATAAAAGATATTGCCTTTCTGTTTTTTTGTGTCATATTTGGCATGTGTAGATCTGTTATGTGTGTAAAAATGGTGGTTTTATGTCTTTGGGAAGGGTGTTGTTTGCAATGTTGAAATACCCCTAATGCCAGTCTTCGTCACATGTAGACCCGAATAAGGCCCAGTCTCCAGTGAGTTAAGGTGTTCGCCTCTCATTCAATAGGTCCCACATTTGAATCCACATAGCGACTGAAATTTTTCTTCTCTAAAATTGTCTCCTTTCACCTCCTTTCCTGCTTTCTAGCAATGTTCTGTTGTCTCCTTTCGCCTCCACTTTCTCCCCTCACCTTCTTTGCCCTCTCCTCTGGGCTCCTGACTCTTTCTGTAGCCTTTCTACTGTTACTCCCTGGCTCCTTCTCACTGCTGTCTTTCAGCCACACCCCTGATTCTACGGTAGGAAAGATCTAGACCTAGTCGTCTCGGACAAGGGCGAAAAATGTCGGAAGTCCTGTGTGCAAGTTGCGCATGTTAGAGATCCCTTGGTGGTCCAAAATTGCTAAGAGTAGGCTTCAACCGCTACCCAGGCAAAATTCAAAATTTCCTACCAACTGAAAATGTTTAATGTGTCCCGCATGCTCATATGACCTTATGCAGTTGCGAACGCAGTAAAACACTTACAAAAAAAGACTTGCAACATAATAAGGTCATATAAGTGCTGAAGATTAAAGGTGTTGCTAATTTGAAAAAGAAGGAGGAGAGATACTGATGATAGATTTTTTTTATAGGAAAGAAGGAGCAAACCATACCAGAGCACCAATCAACGACCCCCTCAGATTTCTTTTCAGTGGTGTCTTTTAAAAAAATTTTTTTTTTAAATTGGACTCTATACTGGTAGTATCATGTAACAATTGCGTGTCAAAATATCTGTATGAAATTAATGCCACATGGCACTTGAAACATTTTTTCCCCATAGAAATCTATAGAAAGTTTTGTTTTGTTGGCTCAAAACAGCATCTTGCAGTGATATATTGTGCATGAGAAAAGAAACTATATGTGTCACAACGCGGTGGAATCGGGCGCTCGTCAATTTTGGGGCTTGTAGAGTTATTGGTATCATCTTAAAGTGTGTTCATTTGTCTTCCTTTTGATGAAAAAAGTATCCATTTATCCTGAATACAGGTCAAGATATTTGAAACGGAAGGAGGTGGGAGTCACCTGGTTTCAGAAGTAAAATTTGTAAGAAAATGGCCACCAAAGATAAGTTATTTCCTTAGCTTGAGAGTCCATGGAAATTGAAAATTTACATGTTTTGTGCCTTTTATCAACGTTTTTCAGTAAAATCCACACCGAAATGTGTTCTTTAATGGGCATGAAAGGTGTTGAGCCAAAAAACAAGAATTCGATAAAAATTCACAAGCCTGCGGAAAATGCCAGTTACTTCACTTTGATTATTTTGAAGAGCGCCTGATTTCACTAGGCTGCCTCACATATTAAACCCAAAAGTAGAGTCCAGTTCTCTCATCTGTGGTGTTGTATTTCATTGTGTTGGTTTATGATCTCAATTTAGTGTTCTTTATATGGCTCTAATCATTTTCATGTAAAATTATATCCAGACAAAATTAACTGCTTATGACGTTTCACTTAGTCATGGAATAAGTGACATAAGAAAAAAGAAAGAAAAAATCAGAATGTTTGATAGTTAAATAAAGAGAAGGGCCAAGCAACTTAGACTGATAGAAGTCGTAGTGAGAAGAAAAGAAGTTGGGCCTACCAGTAACACCCACTGACTACCTTCTACATATACGACATGGACATATGACTCTGTGTGTGTTATTTTATGACAAAGCCAAAAGTTATATGGAGTGGAAAAATTAGGGTGGTGTTGGTAGCCTAGTGGTTTGGCTATGGGACCCGTAATCGGGAAATGCGGGTTCAGGGGTTCGAGCCTCAGCTCAGTCTGATGTTGTGTCCTTGGGAAAGGCACTTTACACAAATTTCCTATTTGGCTTGGTCCTTTTGCAGATGGATGTTAAACTCGGAGGTCCCGCCTCTTAATAGCCTAATAATGTTGATAGGGGTGTTAAACATATACCATTTCACCATTTTTAGGTGGAAAAATTAGAATAGATATATCAATAAAGTTACTAGAGTGACTTGACCACTTGCGGCCACAAGCGAACATTCCCCTCTAGCTAGCACTGCTTCTGCACTAAGAGATTCCCAACTTGATTTTCGAGGAGAAAAAAGCCGCAGGAAGGGCCCTGACCTGGCCGGGAATTTAAAGACTTCAAGTATAGAGTGCAGTGTGTGTTTTCTGCACAACTTCGGCGTACCACTTGGCGGCCAGCAGCCCTGGGTGCGGCCGACGACGAGCCAACGATGCGGCCGCCTGACTTAGGTGCGGCCGAATCCATGCCCGTTAGGCGGCCAGGCCTTAAACAAGCTTCAAACACTTGAAAACATGACAAACAATGAAGGGAATCAATAACAAACGCATAAGGTGCAATTTGAAATATAGCAGGCCTACATTCAACTTTAATGAGATTCAACAGACTCTTGATCAGAGCAGGCAAACGAAATGGAAATCAGTGACACAGAATGCAAACGGGAACGTTCAAAATTAAAGAATGGTACATACAACTTAAACAAGATTCAATCTACTTTTGATCAGAGCATGCAAACAAAATGGAAATCAATGACAGCGTAGATCTATGCAAAAAAGTGCAAGGATGGTAGATCTAGATCTAGATTTCGTATACTCTTGATAAGAGCAGAACGGACAAGTCTCACGTCTCTGGCCTCAAGGTACGATCTCCACAGCCATGCTGACCAAGTGAATCCCCACTCTCCTCATTCACAGTGTCTGGCCTTCCTTCCGCTTCAGCCAATGCTGGCATTTCGTTTCCAGTTCCGACCATGTTGCAGTCCTCCACCTCTTCTTCATTCATCTCACGCATAGCATATTATTCTCTTTCTACTCCAAGTCCAACGACTGGTCTTTTGTTCCCATCTCCGTCTCTCTCAAGCATGTCTTCTCTTTCTGTTTCTTCTACTTCAACCACCTGTCTTTTGTTTCCTATTTCCTTCATTGTCAGCAGCAACACTGTTTCTATTTCTCTCCGTCTGTGGTCCGACTCTTGATCCTTCATCAAGTTCAAGCGTTTCATTGTCCATGTGTCATCTCTGTGGAGTTTCATGTCTTTCCACAACCCCCACTTCAGCAAACATGGATTCCTCAGTCGAACATTCTTCTCCCATGAAATTTTCCAACTGCAGGTCATCTTCATCAAACAGTATCATTTCACTTTCATTGATACCTGCACTTGTACATGTATCATAGTCTGAATCGCTCAACCTCTTCTTGGATTTGTTTCCCTTCACTTTGGACTTCTTTTCTTTTTCTTCTTCTTATTGTCCGTCCCCTTCTCCTCGGCTAGTCTCCTCTCTTCTTGCATCTTCTTTCTATTTTCTTTCTCCACTTTGCTTCTTCAGCTCCCCTCGCTGTTTTTCTCTTTCCTTTCCCGTCTTCCATTTCTCCTCTTCCATTTTGGCTCTACTCTGTCCACTTTTCTCATTTCCATCTCTGCTTTCCTTTTGATCTTTCTCTCCTTGTTGATTAAAGAGTCAATGAATTTTTGTCCACTGATGAACGATGGAAGGTTTTCCAGCGATGTCTTTCTGTTGCCGCCATTATTCCTGCGTTGCAAAGTAGGAAGAACGAAGGAATCTTTCAGTCTCAGATTGACTTGGCATCTCCCCATCCCTTCACTGACTGCTTGTTACACATTGTCTAAAGCTTCTTTTGTCCCCTTCGGTTTCCCACTCATTTTGAGACTTGCTTGGGAAAACACATTTTTTGGATAGATTAGTGTTCACTTCATGCCATACTTGAGTTTTTGTTTGAGTTGGCCTTTATCGTCTCTAATGAAAACCAGTAGGTCATTTAGGCAAATTAACGTGCTGTTACACTGGGATATGAAATGTAACAGAACTTACTATCCCATCTAGTCACAGTGTACTAACACCGGGCCAACCTGTCATAGCACTCGTCCCATAATGCCGACGCCAGGTGGGACAGCTACTAGATCTAGATTGCCAGTTTTTTTAGTCTTAGGTATGACCTGGTCGGGAATTGAACCCACGATCTTCCATTCCCGAGAAGGACGCCATACCACTAGGCCACTGAGTTCGGTGCCATGCTTGAAAATATCGTATTGTTCCGTTACCAGTAGATCTAGATCTAGCTTTATTAAGTGGACAAACAGCCTACCCCTATCAAGCACAAGGTCTAGATTCTATCTCAAGACTTTAGCCTTCATTTGACTAGGGCTATCTATCATTTTGGACTCTGGCCGCGGCCAGGACCTCTACTGTGAAGCCCATCCTCGGTGCGGCCGATTCGACCGTATGTGGGCCCACATGAAAAATTACCCTGCCCTGGCTGCGTCCATTGACGTTTCTCCGAAAGTTTACGTTTGAGCGATATTTATACAATGTTAGGCTTAAAAACATGCATTTTAAAACACAGAAACCACACTTAGTTGACAAAATAATAATATTTAGGTTGTGGTAAGAGCTAATGAAAAACTCACCTGAAATTTCACGAAGGGATGTTTTCTGGGTTGAAAAGTTCAAACTCGCATCACGTGTGTCGGAACAGCGGGAAAGACCGGAAATGAAAGTGAATGCATTGGCAGACCCAAGAGAAGCTACAGTGGTTTATTCAAAGCCTTACAGCAACTGGAATGTGAGTTATGAGAACTTGCCGCACACCAGCAGTGGCCGCGAGGGGGTCACGCTACTCTATGTGGAGGAGGGTACTTTTGTTTGGGGGGAACCTCAACTGTGTACTGGGATTGGAAAGGGGTTTGGGGGCGGGGGTTTAGGGGACCATTGTTTATCCACTCTAGAGGCTGCATTTTTGGCCTACTTTACAAACAACTTTGCAGATGGATAAAGGGTGTGGGTGGTTGTCGGGTGCTCTGATGTGGCTTGTTTCTTCTTTCCTATCAGACATCTTTCGTCTTTATCTCTCTTCCTTTTTTTGTGTTTATTACTCTCTTGTAACACCTCTAATCTTCAGCACTTATATGACCTTATTGTGTTGCAAGTGCCGTAAAACACTTATTAAAACAAAAGGATAGAGGGTGCCACTGGCAGGTCCTTCATAACTTCTTTACGTTCCCACTGTTGTTTCTGACTGTATGCCATACTTGTTTCCAGTTAAATGACCATTTTTGTTTCGATGTGCTTCTCTTTCCTCAAACAGACAAACCCAACGTTTGACTGCCTACTGGGAAGATGGCTTCCACTTTCATTCAAAATTGTTAAAGATGGCTGCCCGTTGTCAGGGAGAAAAGTTGTCATCTTACACAGGAGGACTTCATGGAGATTGTCATTAAAACATTTTTTTACTGAGAAGGGGAAAGCGTGAAATGGTCATTTGTACAGGTAGTTGTCTTAGCTGGCCATTAGAGCAGGTTTGACTGCAGATGCCAAAAATAGGTCTGCTTTCTTTCTTTTCCAGAGATGCACCAAATGTACCAAAAGGAGTACCTGAAGTCGGCTCTGGGTCAGAAGAGGCTCCAGTGGAATCACCTACACTGCCACGATATTCTCCTCATGCCTGATAAGTGGGAGTTTCCATGGGTAAGAAGATCTGATGTGACAAATATACTTGATACCCCTCCCCCAACCTCTCTGTCTGTTTATCATTATCTGTCACTGTTTTTCTATCCATCCTCTAGCTCTGCCTGTCTTTCTCTCTGTCTGTCTCTCTGTCTCTGTCTTCTCTCTTGTCTCTCGCCCCCACTCCACCCCGCTCCCCCCCCCCCCCCGACTTCTTTTTCTCATCTCATTTCTTCTTTCACTCACTCATTCATTTCTTCTCCTTCGTTGCATTCACTCTCAAACTTTCATTCTATCTTTCTCCTCCAGTTTGCGGCATGGGACTTAGCCTTCCACTGTGCTCAGTTCAGTCGTCTGGACATGTCATTCGCCAAAGATCAGATCCTTCTGCTACTCTCTGATCGCTACATGCATGCCAATGGCCAGGTGAGACACGCACACTCTCTGTTTATTTTTGTCAGTTTTCTAAAACATTTTCAATATTTTTTTTCAAGTGATCTACCAATATTGCCATTGTCACATGAAAAATGAATATGTCCTTCAGACTCTGCTTTACAAGGTGATTAAAAAACATTGGAGTAAGCCTTTGTTCTGGCTCGTTTTTGTTTTAGTAAGAGTCTTACAGTACTTGCAGCTACACAACAAGGTCCCATAAGGGCCGAAGTTTAGAGGTGTCGCAAGAGAGCAACAAACACAAAAAAGATAAGGACGATAGATGTTTGATAGGAAGGAAGGAGTAAATCGCACCAGAGCACCCGGCTATCAACCACATTTTTCTTATGACAGCAGTACTATGCGGATGGTTGGCGGGTGCTGTGGTGTGGTTTGCTCCTTTTTTCCTATCAAACATCTATCATCCTGATCTCTCCTTCTTCTTTTTTGTGTTTGTTACTCTCTTGTAACACCTCGAGTCTTCGGCACCTATATGACCTCATTGTATATCGAATGCTGTAAAACTCTTACTAAAAAAAGCAGTAGTATGAAGCATCTCTTCATTGTGACCGTATAACTTTTTACTTTTTTCTTCCTCTGGTATCCTTTGGATGTTGAGGGGAGGTGCAGGTTTCATTCCTGTGTTAAGTGTGTAGCATTTGTGATAAATATGTTATGTTGTTCCAGGACCTTTTTAACCCCATCCAGCCAGGTTTTTCTTGGTCTTCTTCTTGATTTGAAGCTGGATTCACAGATGTAGTAAGCACTAGCCACTAGTTGTTTCTGGGGCATTCTGCAACAACATTCTTGAACCATCCACAGATTCCAGGTTGTGAGTTTGACCTGGGAGACCCTAACCCGCCCATCACAGCCTGGGCAGTGTGGAAGATGTACAAACAGGACGGGGAGAAAGACTTGTCCTTCCTCAAGACTTGCTTTAACAGGCTCATTTTCAGCTTTCAATGGTCAGTGGCTCGCTCTTCTGTGTCTTGAGATATGTTTTCTCTATGGTGCATTTTGAGAACGCACGAGATAGTTTTTTTTGTATAATAATATGCCTAATGGTTTTTTTGTGCTTTCTTTTCCTTATCTTCATTGTGAATGTAAAAGTTGTCAGTTTTTAAAAAATTATATGTCTGATGTTAAATGTGCCTTTTTGCATTCTTTGTTTGTTTTTTTGGGGTCTTTTTGTACTCTTTATTTTTGGGGAACAGGATAGCTTTGGAAGTCACGAAGCTTTGGCGACCATTTTCTTGCTAATTTTACCTCTAATAACAGGCGACCCCCACCTCCTTTGATTACAACAATCTTGACTTCTGTCTAAGACAGATTGATAATTTTTCATCAAAGACAAATAAACAAGTTTTTAGATTATACCAATAACTCCATATGCTCATAAATAAATGAGCACTTGATTCCACCATGTTATGGCACATGCTGTTTCATTGATAATTTCTTTGATCTCCTTCTTCTTCAAGCACCGAGTCTGAAACATACATTTCGGAGAGTGGTCGAGGGGTTATGGTGTTTGCCTCTCTTTCAATTGATCCCGATCTTCTCCAAAATTTTCTCCTTTCGCCTCCTTTCCTGCTCTCTAACAATTTTCTATCATCTGCTTTCATCTCCACTTTCTGCCTCCACCCCCTCACCTCCTTTGCCCTCTACTCTGGCCTCCTGACTCTTTCTACAGCCTTTCTACTGCAACATTTTGGTTACTCCTCAGTTCCCTCTTACTGCTGTCTTTCAGCCATGCCCCTGATCTTGTGGCTGGTAAGATCTAACACCTAGCCTTCTCGGAAAAGGGCAAAAATCTCAGAGGTCCTATGTGCGTCTCGGAGGTCCCGTGTGCACGTTAAAGATCCCTTGGTAGTCCAAAAACGATAAGAATAGGCTCCGGCCGCCACCCTGGGAAAATTCAAAATTTCCTACCAACTGACAATGTTTAATGTGTCCCTTGTGCTCATATGACCTTATGCAGTTGCGAACATCATAAAACCGTTACCTAAAAAAAATATTTTAAATTACTTTGGGGATCTTTGTTCGTTACTCATTCCTCTGCTGGGATGATCATTTTCGGTTAAAAAATTGTCCCGCGTCCCATCTAAGCTTCCCGCAAGTGATGTGGAACTGTAAATTTCTCAGGTGGACCAGGCTGGACCCCACGTCCAGTTACCTGTATGGCAACGGCTTCATGGGCCTGGACAACATCAGCCTGTTTGACCGTTCGAAACTGCCAGACGATGTCACGTCACTCAAACAGGTGTGGAGGATGTGTGGCTGTTGTGAGGAGGAGGCAGAGCTTTTGCTTTCATTCGATGTGGCCTTCTTTTTTTTCTTCTTCTCCTCCTTCTCCTCTGTGACAATGAATATTCATTTCTTTCTGCAAATTCAAAGATATCTACTCTCTCTTTCCTTCCTCTCCCCCCTCCCC